CGTGCGCCGTCCGCGCCCGCCGTGCGCACCAGGGGGGCGCTGGAGGACGAGGCGTGAGCGTGGGGGAAGGGGCGCGGGGAGGGGAAGTGGGAATGCGCGGACGTGGAGGAGTGAGGGGGAGGAAGGGGACAGGGGAGGGAGAGGGGGAGGAGGGGGGGGGATGGGGGAGAGAAGAGGAGAGGATGGTCAGAGGGTAGGAGCGGGGGATGAGGTGGTGGTATGGAACAGAAAAAATTTCGGCTCTGGGCATGCTTCAGAGAGACGGAGGGGGAACGAAATGCTCAAGGGAGGTGGAGTTGATGGGGGATCTTACTCCGAATAGGGTGTATTTGAATGGTGGAGGTGGGGGGGAGAGGGTGGGGTTGGTTGGGCAGGGATAGGAGTGTGTGAGGAACAAGCGTGCATGTGGTTGTTGTGGGGGGGGATGACTGGATGTGCGTTTGTACTTGTCATGTTCTGGTGCGTGCATTAGGATGGGGTGGGGTGTGGGGGGGAGAGAGTGAGGAAATGCTGCAGGGTGCATGCAGCATGACAGGTAGCTGATGGCGCATCCAGTAACCAGGCAGGTTAGGTATAATTTTGGGCCCTGGTATAAGCCTTCCAATTTTAGGGCCAGGACCTGGTTTAATATCTGGCCTGAACGTATTGTACCTAAGCGTTGTGCCTCGTAATGGTAGTACATGTGTTCCAGTATCGTGTATCATTATTCTGCCAGCACATTCACAGCTCGGGCAAAGCTACTAGTGTCCACATTCCAAAACCGTCACCGTCACTGTTTTACATGCCATGGGCACACTGACCAATTTGAGCAATTATAAAGAACTGCCATGTGTGTTTGTAGAGCAATTACAGGACTGGCCAATACCGTAAGAAGGTTCAGCATACTCAAGTCCTAATGAAAGGGTGGTCAGATATCCAGCAAAGGTCCTCGTGTCAAGTAACAAGGCTGAAGGAACAAGCCCAGCTTATACACTAATCCATTATCTGCTGACAGGCTCGGAGAGTGCCGCAAACAAGGCCAAAACCACGACAAAGTGCAGGTACAGGTTCTTCACGTCAGCAGCACTCATGCAGTATACTGGGAAATACGGCTCCAACCAAAATACAGAGGCTGATCTGCATGTCACACAGTCACTGGCTTCAGGTACATTTTGTGAATACAAATACTGAAACTATTTACGCAACCAGCCTACTCAAATGCTTCTAGGACTATCAGCAGTGTGCCATGATGCTCTACAGGAATGGCGTGGGAGGAGAGGCAGCCATGCATGCTACATTCCCCACTCCTCCACTCTGCCACCCCCTTTCCTCCTCTTCCCTCCCACACTGTCCTCCTTGCCTTCCATTGTACTCCACTTCCCTCTAGCTCCTGACAGCCTGCAGATGGCATGGTAAATGCCACACCATGACATGCCACACCATGCCATGCCACATAATGCCACGCAACACTATCCATGCCACACCATGACATGCCAAAAACTGACATGCCACACCATGAGATGACACACAATGACATGCCCACACCATGCCATGCCCACACCATGCCATGCCACACCATGCCCTGCCACACCATGCCATGCCACACCATGCCATGCCACACCATGCCATGCCACACCATGCCGTGCCACACCATGCCGTGCCACACCATGCCGTGGAACACCATGCCGTGCCACACCATGCCGTGCCACACCATGCCGTGCCACACCATGCCGTGCCACACCATGCCATGCCACACCATGCCGTGCCACACCAATCCATTCCACACCATGACATGAAAAATGGTCACACCATACAACACCACATGATTCCATACCAGACACTCAGTGTCACACTAGATCACACCACACCATGTCACACCTTTCTATTAAATTGTGTTACGAACAGAACCATCATATGCCACACCATGACCTGCCAAACTAATCATACCGCAAATGCTGACCACACTGTACAATACCACATGCCACTCTAATTCACACCATTCTGCATACCGCACTGTACCACACCACACTGTATTGCACCACTCGTACCATACATCATGCCACAATGTTTCACACCACACTATATCATATCGCACTGTATCACTTCACACTGTACCATACCACACCTTATCAAACCGCACAGCATCATATCAAATGATCATACCACACAACATCATACCATTCTGTACCATACCACACAGTAACATACCACACGGTACCCCAACACACTGTATCATGCTGTATCACACCACATCATGTCACATCACACCATAACACATCATACGATGTCACACAATACCGTATCATACCATACAAATACGGTGTGATAACACATTATCTCACTCACACCATACTATGTCACACCAGAAATTATCACACCATATCATATCATACCATACAGCATCATACCACATTGTATCATGCCCCACTGCATCATACCACAGTATGTCAAACCACACCCTACAATGTCACACCAGAATTTGTCACACGCAGACACAGAATCACACCGTGCAGTATCATACCACATAATGTGTCACACCACACTACGTCACACCATACTATGTCACACCATACTACGTCACACCACACTATGTCACACCACACCATCATACCATACTAGATCACACTGTATCATACCACACTATACACCCCCCTCCCACCTTCACCTGACAGCAGTAGGTGCAGCAGACAGCCCACTCCCTTTCGGAAACAAAACCCTCAAGGAATGTGCCTTGTGGAGCGAGGTGTGGCAGAGGAAAATCGCTTCCAGCCCAAGACTCAAATCCCACCCCTGACGTAGCTAGAGCTGACGCGAACCAGAGTCGCCGGCCGGTCGACTCTGACGGTGTCCATTAAGCTTTGAACGCCAGATCGGTTACTTGAGCACCGAGTGCCGTGCCGCGCAGATTCCACCCACCACACCCCGACCCACAAGCCACAACCCCAGGGGGTGCTGCCCCTAAGAAAGTGAACTGCCCGCTTGCTCCCATGCCTCCCACCCACCCCCTCCCTTCACCCCATGCCTCCTTACCTCTACCTACCACAACGGAACAGAGCGAAATGATGCCTGAGGCTGCTGGGAAGTGGGGGGACCGGGGAATGGGGGGGTTCACAGACGGCAGGATTCCACCGTGGTCCAGGCAGGGTGCTGCTGGGAGGGAAGGGAAAAAGGAAAGAGGAGGAGGTGAGTGAGACGGTGGACTCCCCTCTCCCTTGCTCCAGTGCTCCCACTCTGAGGCTGCAGAGAAGAAACGGGGGAGAAAGAGAGGGGAGAGGACCAGGTCACCATACCTCACGCTCACCTGGTACCATACCGAACCTTTTACCACACCTCCCCACACCTTGACCTAGCTTAGCCTCCTCTCTATCCCCCACCCCCCACTGCTGCTGCTGCTGCTGCTGCTGCTGCTGCTGCTGCTGCTGCGGCTGCTGCTACTGCTGCTGCCGATCTGCTGCTCAGCTTCCTCTGCTACAGTCTTCGCTCGATGCCAAGTGACCTGGTAACGGGCATGGAGAGGGGGGAAGGGGACAGGAGAGGAAAGGCAGGAGGAACTGGTGAGTGGGAAGAAACTGATAAGAGACTTAAGCTGACAGAGACGAGAATGGAAAGAACAAAGAGACAGTACCTTGAGAACTCGAGGGAGGGAGGGATGAGGCCAAGGAGGGAGCTGACGTACCTTGAGTTGAGAGGCCAAGCCCAACCCCATACTCTCCCTTGTGGCAGCGATTCAAGTCTGCTGCAGTGCTGCCTCCCTCCCATCCCCATGCACACCTGCACGTCCACAGGGGAGGGGAATGAGGAGCATTAGTGCTGACCCTAAACAAGGAATACGAGTAAGTGCATGCAGCAGAACATGAATCATACAAAAGTGAGGAGCAGAGCAAGTGAGGCGAGAGGGGGTTGGCACTCACACTGACAGGAGGAGCAGAGAGAAAAGCCCCCTGGCAGGGCTGTGGGCAGGTGAGTTGACCCTTGGGCGAGCAGTTACGCTGGGAAGTAGCAACTGCCAGGCAAGCAGGCAAGGGCGGGAGGAGAAGAGAGTGAGTGCATGGCCAGGAGTCATGTGCATGGAGGGTGGCGGTATGAGCCCGGTGTGAGCATGACATGAAATGCTTTTGAGTCGACTCAAAAGTAAGAGCACGGTGAGAGCATGGCATGAAATGAGACGGGGCATGCTGCAGTGCCAACACGCCCTCCACAGGAGCCAAGTACCACACCTTCACCTTCCACCTCAGCCATAACCATTCCCTTAACTACCCTTAACCTACTGTACCACCACCCTTAACCTTAACCCTACATTAACCTTAACCATAATGGGGGGAAGCTCTGTGGAGGGGTGGTTGGCATGAAGCAAGGAGGAAGGCGCGAAGGGGAGGGTGGCATGGCAGTGCAGGGACGTTGGGATGCGAGACTGAAGGGACTAGAAAAAAAGGGCGTGGGCTTATCTTTGTGTGCAGCGTTGAGGATGCCTTGCTGCGCCTTGCTGCTGCGCCTTGCTGCTGCGCCTTGCAAGACAGGCTTGTAGTAGATCTCCTGGCAGACAGGGGGGGATGGAAGAAGGGCGGGAGGGGGGAGGAGGGGAGGGTGCGGGAGTGATTAGAGGGAAGCTTTGGAGGACACAGGTGGAGGGAAGAAGCTATGGGCGGAATGCGTGCATTGCATATGGGTGATGGCATGACACAGAGCATAGTGCAGTGCCAACCCTCCACAGGAGCCGAGTACCAAACCTTCACCTTCCACCTGAATTATAACCTGACCTGAACCTTAACCCAGAAAAAAACCTGAATCTTAACTAAGGGGAGAGGCTCTGTGAAGGCTTGGTTGGCATGACAGCAAAGGAGGAAGGGGCAAGGGGGAGGGTGGCCGTGCAGGGGACGCTGGGTCGTGGGCTGGAGAGTTCAAATAAGAGCTCGAGCTGCGGGAGAGACTGTGCGGACAAGAAACCAAGAACTGTGAGTGAGCTCATCTTTGTGTGGAGCACTGAGGGTGCCTTGCTGCGACTTTCTGCTGCCCGTTGTGCCTTACTGCTGCCCGTTGCACCTTTCTGCTGCCCGTTGCACCTTTCTGCTGCCCGTTGCACCTTTCTGCTGCCCGTTGCACGTTGCTTCTGCACCTAGTTGCAGGGCAGGCTTCGAGCAGAGAGCCTGGCAGACGGGGGGAATGGGGGAGGGCGGGGGTAGAGAAGAGGGGAGGGAGCGGGGGGATAAAAAGAGAAGCTAAGGAGGACACAAGGGGCGGAACGCATGCATATGCAGAGGGTGGGTGATGGTGAGCGCATGGGATGGCATGACACAGTCACACGGGGGATGATGCCCATTACACCCTCCACAGCAGCCAAGTACCAAACCTTCACCTTCCACCTGAACCATGACCTGAACCTTTACCTGAATAGAAAAGCCTGAACCTTACCAAGGGGGGAAGCTCTGTGGAGGGTTGGTTGGCATGACAGCAAGGAGGAGGGCGGATGGGGGGATGGCAGTGCAGGCAGGGGACACAGGTATTCAAACAAGAGCATGAGCTGAAACGGAAGCAGAGCGGTATGCAACCAAGGGTGTGGGCTTCTCTTTGTGTGGAGTGTTGAGGGTGCCTTGCTGCCCCTTGCTGCTGCCCCTTGCTGCTGCACTTTGCTCCTGAGTCCTGACCCTTCCTTCTCCTCCTTGGGGCTGAGACTTGGACTGCAGGACAGGGTTGATGATTTCGAGTCGACTCAAAAATCATCTCATCACACGCGACTTGGACTGCAGGACAGGGTTGATGATTTTGAGTCGACTCAAAAATCATCTCATCACACGCGACTTGGACTGCAGGACAGGGTTGATGATTTCGAGTCGACTCAACAATCATCTCATCACACGCGACTTGGACTGCAGGACAGGGTTGATGATTTCGAGTCGACTCAAAAATCATCTCATCACACGCGACTTGGACTGCAGGACAGGGTTGATGATTTTCAGTCGACTAAAAAATCATCTCATCACACGCGACTTGGACTGCAGGACAGGGTTGATGATTTCGAGTCGACTCAACAATCATCTCATCACACGCGACTTGGACTGCAGGACAGGGTTGATGATTTCGAGTCGACTCAAAAATCATCTCATCACACGCGACTTGGACTGCAGGACAGGGTTGATGATTTTCAGTCGACTCAAAAATCATCTCATCACACGCGACTTGGACTGCAGGACAGGGTTGATGATTTTCAGTCGACTCAAAAATCATCTCATCACACGCGACTTGGACTGCAGGACAGGGTTGATGCGAAGAGCCTGGCAGTCAGGAGGAGGAGGGGGAAGGGGAAAGGGGGGGGAAGGGTAGAAGGGAGGGAAGAGGGAAGCGACCAGGAGTGAGTGAAGGGCTGCTCTGAAGGACACAAGGGGCGGAATGCGTGCGGGGATGGGATGGCATGAGATGGGGCATGGAGCAGTGCCATGCCAAGCATGCCCTCCACAGGAGCCGAGCCGAGTACCAAACCTTCACCTTTCACCTCAACCTTAACCCAAAGAAAACTTGAACCTTTACCAAGGGGGGAAGCTCTGTGGAGGGCTTGTTGGCATGACAGGGAGGAGGAGGGCGGATGGGGGATTGACAGTGCAGGAAACATCGGGTTGATTTTTGAGTCGACTCAAAAAAGATTGACAGTGCAGGAAACATCGGTTTTCAAACAAGAGCTCGAGCTGAAACAGAACCAGAGCGGTTGTGAAACCAAGGGTGTGAAACCAAGGGTGTGAAACCAAGGGTGTGAAACCAAGGGTGTGGGCTTATCTTTGTGTGCAGCGTTGAGGGTGCCTTGCTGCCCCTTGCTGCTGCCCTTTGCTACTGCGCCTTGCACCCTTGCAGCTGCGCCTTTCTCCTGACCCTTGCTTCTGCGCCCTGCTGCAGAAGCAGAAGCAAGATACTTAGACTGCAGGATACTTAAAGCGGAGAGCCTGGCAGTCAGAAGGGGGGGAGGAAGGGTAGAAGGGAGGGGAGAGGGAAGCGATCAGGAGTGAGTGAAGGACCGCTGTGGAGGACACAAGGGGGCGGAGTGTGTGCATGCAGTGCTGTGGGTGTTGGTGAGCGCATCCGATGGCATGCGATGGGGTAGGGTGCCGTGCCACGCCATGCCAAGCACGCTCTCCATAGGAGCCAAGTACCATACCTTGTACCTCAACCTACCACATACCTTCACCTCTCACCTCTCACCTGAACCTAAATCTGAACCTGGCCTCAACTTGGGGGAGGGGCTCCTTGGAGGGGCGGCTGGCACAGCAGCAAGGGGGGTGGGAAGGAGATGGCAGCGCATTGCAAGGCAGCATGGCGGATGGAGGCTGGAAAAGCAGAGAGCGAGAAGGTGAGAACCCAAGGGCGCGGAGCTTATCTGTTCATCGCGTGTGCACGGTTGCTGCAGGCATTTGCGCTTGCAACCGTGCCGAGGAGGTCTTGGTGTTGCCTTGCGCCTATGAGTCGCCGTGCGCCTGGTTGCTGCCTTGAGTGCTGGTTGGTGGCGAGTGAGGGGCCTCCAGAATAGCACCTGGGAGTGAAGGGTGGAGGCAGAGAGAGAAAGAGAATGAGTGCAAGGCAACCATGACTGTAAGGAAAACCAATCGAAAGCTGTGCGAGTGTGGTATGGGGAGTGATTGGTGAGCGTGCAAGGTGCACAGAGGGCCGTGGGCACACAGAGAGCCGTGGGCGCACAGGCACGGCAGCGTTGAGCAGAGAACCTGCAAGTATCACGCAGGAGTCAGTGAGTGTATTGCAGAAAGAAACAATCCATGCCAAAGAAAAAGCAATGCGGTGAAGAGGTGCGAGTGAGGAGTGTGAGTGAGGCGACCACAGCAGCACAGGAGCCAAATACCACAGGAAAAACACCTCAAGGGGAACCTCAACCTGTACCAACCTGAACCTCAACCTGTACCAACCTGAACCTCAACCTGAACCAGGGGAAAGGGGGGGGGCTCGTGTGGAGTGTGGAGGCAGGAGGGGGCATTACTGCAACCTTCAGCGTGCAGGCAGGTGGTGTGGCTTGGACGGTGCTGCCCGCCGTGAAGCTCCTCTGGAGAGTGTTGGGGCGACCGTGGCACTCGCTTGAAGAGCCTTGGTGCTCCCCTGAACGGCCTTGCGACTTGAGCCGCTCAAGTTGAGCCTTGGGCGAGGTGGAGAGAACCTGCCAAGCACACAAGGAGGAGGAGAGGAAAGGAGTGAGTGCAAGGCTCAAGGAGAAAAGGAACTGAACGGGCTGTGCAAGTGTGGTGTGAAAAGAACAATGGAGGTGTGCATGCGAGCCCAGCACAGCGCCACAAGAGCCATGCAGCAAAAGAAAAACCTGAGGGGGCACCTGAACCTGTCCTATACCAAACCTGAACCAGAACCTTGACCTCAACCAGGGGGGGGCTCTTGTGGACCATGGAGGGCTGGGGTGATACTTGCAACCTTCCAATCCAAGTGTTCAAAGGTGCTCCTCTTCTCCTCTGCTCCTCTGCTCTGCTGCTCCTCTGCTCCGCTGCTCGTCTCCTCTGCTACTCTCCTCCCCTCCTCTGCTCCTCTCCTCTGTTCCTCTCCTCTCCACTGCTCGTCTCCTGCTGCAGCGGCCAACGCAGTCAAGCGAACCTGCCAGAGAAGCGAGGCGAGAGTCAGTGAGTGCAGAACAACAGCCAACGATTCATGCGAGAGAAAAACGAAGTGCTGTGAGAAACAAAAGGTGCGCACATCACAGCACCACAGGAGCCAAAAAAAACACCTCAGGGGCACCTGAACCTGAACCTGAACCTGAACCTGAACCTGAACCTGAACCTGAACCTTGACCTTACCCAGGGGGGCGCTCATGTGGACCGTGGAGGGCTGGGGTGATACTTGCAACCTTCCATGTGCTCGAAGGTACGCCTCTTTTCTGCTCCTATGCTCCTCTTCTCCTCTCCTCCTCCGCTCCTCTTCTCCTCCGTTCCTCTTCTCCTCCGCTCCTCTTCTCCTCCGTTCCTCTTCTCCTCTGCTCCTCTTCTCCGCTGCTGGCGCCCACACCACCAGCTTTGTAAGCATAACGGCCTTGGCGTTGTATTGGTCAAAAGAACCTGCTGGCAACACCAAGAGGGAGTCAGTGAGCGCATGGCAGACGGAAGCGAAAGATGCTGCAGCATGCTGGAAAAGGGCAGGAAAATGTGCGAACGGGATATGCACCGACCACAGCACCACAGGAGCTCAGAGAAAACACCTGAAGGGGCACCTGAACCTCAACCTCGACCAAGGGGGGGGGAGCTCTTGTGGACCGTGGAGGGCTGGGGTGATACTTGCAACATTCCATGGCGTCGAGGCTGCTCCTCCTCTGCTCCTCTTCTCGTCCGCTGTTGTGCTGTTGAAGCCAACACCACCTGCCTCGTGAGCAGAAGCACCTTGGTGTTGAGATGCTCGCTCGAACCTGCCAGGGAAGCGAGGAGAGAAGTCAGTGAGTACATGGCGGCAGGCAACAATCCAACGGAAAGAAGATGCGAATGAAGGATATACGCACGACCACAGCACCACACGAGCCAGGTTAAAAAAAAAAAACCTGAAGGGGCACCTGAACCTTGACCTTTACCAGGGGGGGGGCTCATGTGGAGTGTGGAGGACGCAGATGATACTTTCAACCTTCCATAAGTTCGAGGCAGCTCCTTTGCTCCTCTGCAGCTTGCGCCCACGCCGCCAGCCTTGTGAGCAGAAGGGCCTTGGCGTTCCAGCGGTCATTCAAACCTGCCAGGGAAGCGAGGAGAGAAGTCAGTGAGTACATGGCGGCAGGCAACAATCCAACGGAAAGAAGATGCGAATGAAGGACAGATGCACGACCACAGCACCACACGAGCCAGGTAGAAATAAAAACACCTGAAGGGGCATCTGAACCTGATCCGAACCTCAACCTCGACCAGGGGGGTGGCTCATGTGGAGAGTGGCGGCGGGAGATGATACTTGAACCTTCACCCTTCATCACTTCCATGAGCCTCAGTCGTCTGGACGCTGCTCCAACCTTCCCCCTTGCAATCCGTCGCCTGGCGCTGCGCCCCTGCCGTGGTGCGCGCCCGCCTGCGCATTTTCAAACGCCATGAGCAGGCCTGGGAGCGTAGGGAGGGCGGGAGACGGGAGGGACAACAGGCCAGAGGGGAGAGAGGGTATGTGTCGGAGACCAGCAGAAGCAGGAACGCGGCAGTGAGGGTTGAAGATATAGTAAACAAACGAAGCTGCAGAAATTTACGAAAACAAAGGGAAAAGGCAGAAGTTTGAGAAGGTATTGTAAACGCACCTCAGAACGCATTCGCGGATTGCGGACTCAAAAGATACGCGGATGGGGATTTGACGAACAGCGACGCGAACAGAGAACCTCCCGAGGTCAAAAACCAGGAATCGCAGAGCGGGACTCAGTCTTGCGACCCATCTCTTGCAGCCGCTCAACTTAAATCTCTGCACGTCAAGGAAAAAGCATGTCGTCGTGAGTCCGTTTTGCGCGAATAGGCGGAACATTTGCGGCTACGAAAATTTCACGCCAAAGCGATCGCACATGAACTCCTGCTGGTGCTTTTACCTGTGGATGAAAAATGTCGAAACGCTGGCGCGGTTGGCTCGCGAGGTGAGGCAGATCGCGTGCGGAAAGAAATCAAACGAACCAACCACGCCTCAGGACGAACGAGCCGGTGGTGCGGTGGTAATAACGAGCTGAAATTCGAATGACTGGGAGAAGGCGAGGAGCGTGCAGCGAGCTAGCTAATGTGCAGCAAATTTGGTGAATCGAACGGAGAATCGCGAAATGAGGGTGCTGAGAGGCACGAGGCCACGGATTGGGTTGGGGTACGCTGGTGATCCGTGGGGGACTGAACGTCATGTGTGGCTCAACGTTCATGCCGCCTAAATTTCGAACTAAACATTCGACGGTTCAAAATCGCCTTGCTGGCACCTACGGTGGTCCCACATGTGACAGCGTGGACCTTTATCCAACCAATCCGGTCGAGGATAAGATAGTTTTAGCTGCGTGCTCAACCAGTCATTCGGAATCTAATTTTCGCTTTCTCAAAAATTTCCTTGGGGGTTCTTAGTTTGCCTACGTGGGCTTTTTCAATGATCACGGACCCACAATCCCACGTGACGAAAGCAGCTTTGATAGCAAAAGTCACACTGGCTGACCGAGCATGACGTGTACTTCTAGTAGCACTGTAAACGAGATATCAGGTAGCATGTGGGATCCACTTTCCGCCTTGAAAATGCGGCGGAATGATCCAGCTGCCTCCAAACGGTGGGCGGGAAACTAGTGCTTCGGCGTTTGTGACTGACAGCGCAAGTCGAAATCGAAAACGGGAGAAATGTATGTGGGGCGAAACAGAAGCTGGTTGGGGATTGCCGAACGAAGTGTTGTCATCGGATTTCGCCAGACCTTCGCTTTGTTACAAATGGAGCATCAAACTACAACAAATCTACATTGAACACTATTTCCACAATGTATGAATTTAGATAAGCGATTACATTACTATCCTAGGTGTTTATTCTATCCTAGAGATTTTAGCGACATCAATGCAAAACGTACTAGGTTGGAAGTTTTATTGTGGAATGCTTTCACATGATTCACTGGTTGGCAGGTACATCATCTATCTTAAACACCACCTAACTCCAAATGCCACTTCACACGCCATCATCGAAACAGCTTCACCCTTCGAACCCGCCATCAAATCAACTGCTGAAATGCAACTACAACGCATGCTACAGCAACAACCTACAGTGCATGCTACAGCCAGAGTCCGCATCACATGCTACATCCCAGCCCCAACCTACAGCGCATGCCCATCAATGTAGCTCTTAAGTGCGCTGCTCCTCCCCGGCTGCCTCAGCTTCAGTAGCGCCTTGCCCTCAATCTGCCGCACCCGCTCCCTTGTAACGCGGAACAGCGACCCCAGCTCCTCCAGGGTCTTCACGCGCCCGTCGTCCAGCCCGTACCGGTGCCACATCACCTCCCTCTCGCGCGGCGTCAGCGTGTGCAGCGCGTTCTCGAGGTCCTTGCGCATCAGCTGCTGCATGATCATGTCCTCAGGGTTCTCCAGAGTCGTGTCGGCAACAAACGCCTGGGGAGGATGGGGGGGAGGCATAAGAGAAACGAAGGTGCATTTACTTAGTAACTTCTTGCGCATCAGCTGCTGCATGATCATGTCCTCTGGGTCCTCCAGGGTCGTGTCTGCCACAAACGCCTGAGGATGGATGGGAAGGGACCGCAACATAGGGAGTGGATAGGGTGGTAGGTAGGGTCCTTGCATACCAGCTGCTGCATCGTGCTGTCAACAGCATTCTCTCGGGTGCTTCCCACATAGATCGGACGGGTAGTGCAGAGGGCAACTTGACCCCTGTCATGAAAACTTCCCCATCCCTGCATATGCTCACCCCGAGCATCTCGTCCCTGTCGTCTGAGGCGATGGGGCGGTCCATGGAGGTGGGCGCGCGCACGGTGCGCATGATGCTGCGCAGCTTGCAGTGCGTGCTCTTCCCCTTCCCCCAACAGGGCAATAGCAGCCTGACTGACTCCAATCCTCCCCTTACTCACCCCGAGGGTCTCGTCCCCGTCGTCCGAGGCAATAGGGCGGTCCATGGAGGTGGGCGCGCGCACGGTGCGCATGATGCTGCGCAGCTTGCCCCGCGTGATGCCCACAAGCTGCGCCACCTCCCGCTCCGCCGGCGCGCGACCCAGCGCGTCCGTCAGCATGGCCTTGGCGCGGTTGATGCGCGACACCAGCTCGTATATGTGCGCCTGGGGGGGGACAGGGGTAAAAGCGGGGAGGAGTGGGGAAAGGGGGGGAAGGGGGCAGAGAGGGGTGGGGTTGTGGGTGATAGATATAGTCAGCCAATACTGCACACCCAATACTATCATCCGCGGTAATATCACACCCATTTTACACCACCACACCGTTACTGTCACACGCATTGCGAAACACTCACCGGCAGTCGCACGATGCGGCTCTGCTCCGCGACGGAGCGGCTGATCGCCTGGCGGATCCACCAATGCGCGTACGTGCTGAACTTAAAGCCCTTGCTGTGGTCGAATTTCTCCACCCCCTTCATAAGACCCATGCACCCCTCCGTTATAAGCTCCTCCAGCGACAGCCCGCGCGTCGTGTATTTCTTCGCAACGGAAATCACAAGTCGCATGTTCGAGGCGATCATGCGCTGCTTGCACTCCTTCCCCCACGCCACCCGCGCCTGCACCTCCGCGACGGACAGCCCCGCCTCCTGCGCCCACTCCGCGCGGGTCGGCGCGCGGAGCAGCTTTTCCTCTAGCGCCTCCCGCATGCGCTCCAGCTTCAGCAGCACCTGAACGCCCTTGGAGAGATCGATTTCCTCCTGGACTGACAACAGCCGAGGGTTACCACCCGCAGTGTCGAACATCGCGAAAACCGATTCATTCGCCGCCCGCCTGTACCCCTCCGCCACGACCGCATCTTCCGCCTCCGACTCCTCCTCCCCCAGCGCGAGCGCCGGCCCTTCCGCCGCCGGCTTCCTTCTCCCCGCGGGAGCCGCCGCGGTGGCGGCGGCGGCGGCGGCTGACGCGGCCTGGCGCTGCTGCAGGGACTTTTCGCGCTCCGCAAGGCGCTTGCCCTTCTTCTGCGAGCGCACCACCACGCGCTTCGGCTTCCGCTCCGCTTCCCCCTCCCGGTCCGCCTTCCGCTCGGCTTCCCGCGCGCCGTCTTCCAGTGCGCGCTCTAGCCCGCGGTACGCGGCGTCTTCCGCCCACATGACAATCTCCGCAGGGTGCGCATCCTCCCCGCTCACATCACCCCCGCCAACTGCTTGCGCCAAACTGCCTTCCTCCGCCTTCCCTTCCCCTGGCGCCCCGCCTGCCCGTCGCGCCGCCCTCCTTTCGCGAATCGGCTTCGCGGTGCGTTTGACGGCGTGCGGCTGATCGTTAAGACTTGCCCTTGGCGACCTACCCTGGGCCGTCCGATCTACCGCAGATAAGATACGGTCATCCGGGTGCGGAGGTTCCTGGGGAAGATAGTCATGTGGAAGCCGGGCGTACGGCTGGGTTGAGAACGGTTGAAAGGGGGAAGGTTCGACCGGGGACGGCTGGACTGGGGCAGGCGGTGAGGGAGAGGGAGAAGCGGAGGCGGAAGGTAAGGGGAGTTCTGAGCTTAGACTGTCTTCCGCGCCGCGATACGACTCTAAATGCGTGACCTTATCGACGGCTAAGAGCCACATATGATGCAGCTGATCACTGTTCATAATCTCGTCGGCTCCCTCCTCCTCTACCTCCCCCCAGCCTAATAACGGCGAACTTAACGAGCTCTCCTGTGGTAACCCGTATTCGTCGTCATCGTCGTCGTCATAAAGGCCCATCGCCTCCTCCGATAACGACAGCTCCGCGGCTTCCTTCGCAACGGCTAGCGCTGCGCGCGCGAGCGCAAGGGCTTCCGCCGCTGCTGCTCGAGTAGTCGCGGCGGTGAAGAGGTCGTCCGCCAGTTCAGTGGCGCAGGCGGAAGAGGGGGAGGCGGAAGACGCAGAGAAGCGCGCCGAAGAACCGACGGCTGAGCCATTCACGTGACTGCGTGATCCGATGAGCGAGGGCGACGGGAGGAGGGCGGGGAAGGGGTAGCGGAGAGAAACCGAGGTGGGAAGGAATTCACGAGGAGAGAGTGAAGGGATGGACAACGGGGACGCACAAGCGAATGCACGAAAGGATGCACGGGAATTAGCCAATAGGAGAAACGTTGTACCGTCACAACAAGCGTATAAACGACATCCCAGCTACGCAGTGGAACAATGCTACGTGGAACAGAAATCAATCGCCTTTTTTCCAACGATGCGAGTGAGCAGTTCAGAAAGATTTGCCTATCCGGGGAAGGAAACCATGTGAAACCGCTTACTGTTGCGATGAGCTCGCGAGACCGGAATGCAGGGTGATGCGCGGCGACGGCGCGGATACCGTCGCGGGATGCGCGGAGCTGGCTGCGAGCGGCGAACCCGCGGACGACGCGGAGTTGGCGGAAGGCGAGGGGACCTGCGCAACGGGCGATGCTCGTCGGAGAGGGGTTGCTGACGTGGACGAGCTCAAACACGGGCTTGATCCTGTACCAGCGATGGGGTAAAGACGCCGGGAGAGTGCATAGACACGTGGAGAGTGCATAGTCAGATATTAAGGGATTCTCGGTCTACTGATGAGAGACGAAGCGCGTCGACGGACGACGTTGCGTTAGGTGAGAAAAACTCCTGCTTTAGTTCAAGCTACTAAAACCCTGCACTGTCCAATACCTGGTCTGTCGACAGTCACGCGTTCCAAAAGGAACTTGCGCTGGAAGGCAGTAGCGGAGACGGCCATTCGGCAGAATCCAGATCCGGCAGGTCCGGACACGGAGCTCCTGTACTTAGGAGTTCAATAAAAGATGTCAAAATGGTGCTGCTGGCTGACAATGGAAAAACCCTGCTTGATGCCAGAAACTCAAGCAGAGCTCAAGGAAAGCAGAGGAGAGGAGAGAGGAGAGGAGAGAGGGAGGGAGAGCAGCTGCTGTAGCAACCTGCAAAAGAGAAATCTAAAATCAAGAAGTGGATTTCTTACTCCCTCGAGAATTCCTGACGAGCGGCACTAAAACGAGGGTGGACAATTGCGTCTGGATGAAGTGCAGGCACAACCCGCTCGACACCGAACATTTGTGACTGTAGCGCAATACAGCGAAATCTGTTTGGGTTTGCCTGTCGCACAAATTTTTCGCCAAGCTTCGTTCCTTCTGAACAGTGATCAGGCCAGGAGCCTTGAATCATCCAATAGCTGCATCGTGGCACGCCCGCATTCGTCAACGATGCGGACTGTCGATGCATCTTCGCCGTTCGAGAAGGATCCAACGGCAAGCAGCAAGACTTTGCTGTCCACGTCGATAGCTTCCACAGCGGTCCACGACTTGGCCTATCCGCACGCGCTTCAGTTTCGTCGCGCTGGAATTGCGTGGAATGACGTGGAGCTAACACCTCCTGGGCAAGCGTGGCGATAGAGGGGGAGACCCTGGTTTGGCGCACGGGCTGACGCTGTCCTGACATCAGGCCCTGTAACACTAAGTAATATTTTAACTATTGATATAGCGCTCAGAATTGATCCTTGATACATAGCCACTATGTCCTACATTCACAATAAAATTCAGCTGTCCCGCACTTACTCACCAATCCGTAGGAGCTCCCAATAATAGATAGGAACGGCTTTGGTATCCAGTCACACTAATTACAAGTGAGCCTCTAACACTACACTACAAGGCTGCACACATTGACTGCACACATTGACTGCACACAAGGATGAAACAGTATTAAATAAATACGAGTTGACCTACCATTCTTCAGGAGTCAAAGTCCCACCCACCAAGGTCCACCATGTTCATATCTTCCAAAGTCAACTCAATCTCACTCGGCCATTCCACCTCCGCACCACCCACTATCATAGTCTCCAAACCAGCAACACCACCAGCTTCCGTTACAAGCGCACCGTGGTTACTGCCCTTTGCCCCATCCACCAAACCACCAGCCGCAAGCACCCCAGTAGCCCCTGCCAAAGCACTCCCATGAGCAGGAGCCACTGCTGCTGTCGCTACTAGTGGTGAGAGGCCAGCAGCAGCACCCGTTACACCCACATCTGAGCCTGAGGGGGCTAGCGCATGTGCATGGTGACTGTGATGGTTGTGACTATAATGCTGCTGCTGCTGCTGCTGCTGCTGCTGCTGCTGCTGCTGCTGCTGCTGCTGCTCCAGCTCCAGCTCCTGAACTTCAGCAAAATCATCATTTTCTGGCTCAGCCTTCATGTACCCTTCCACACCCAACCCAACCCCTCTCAACCCTCCCTCCACCTTCCCATCTCCAACCCGCCCCACGCCCCCAAACTCCCCACTCCCTTGCTGTTCAGCCAGAAGCTGCATGGAACCCTTTCGGCTGCCCATTCCGCTGCCCATTCCGCTGCCCATGGGGGAAGGCGCCGCACTCCCGTCCCATACCTCATTCTCCGAGCCAAACCCGTCCTCCGTACCTCCATACCCAGCCTGGGCGAGGTTCTGTCCCATACTCTGTGCCATGCTCTGCCCCATGCTCTGTTGCCCTGCGCTCCTGCTCGTGCCGCCCTCGCCGCCCTCATTGCTGCTGTCTGCCGGCCGGCCCAGGCTGCCCGTGCCGACCGACGAGGTCCCCTGGCTCTCGCCCTTATCCTTCTTCAGAGTCTGGTTCCGTGCAAGCGAGCAAGGGGAGAGTTGAAAGGGCAAATGCGGATGAAGCAAGAGCAACTGATCAACTGATTTGAGACATCTCAGAGTTGCAAGGACGCAAACGGACAGCATCGAGGTTGCTCAATTGAACAAGGTGGCTGAGGGAGAGGCAAGACCGAATAGCATTGAGATTGCTCAAAGGTCGTGCTCTTGCACACACCTGCACTTGCTCCTGCAGCGAGCGCACGTATTGAATGGCCTCATCCAGCATAGATGCCATGTCTGTGTTGCGCGCATTCATGCTCATCTGTGCTGCGCGCATTCATGCTCATCTGTGCTGCGTGCATTCATGCTCATCTGTGCTGCGTGCATTCATGCTCATCTGTGCTGCGTGCATTCATGCTCATCTGTGCTGTGTGCATTCATGCTCATCTGTGCTGCGTGCATTCATGCTCATCTGTGCTGCGTGCATTCATGCTCATCTGTGCTGCGTGCACTCATGCTCACACCCGCAACCCCCACCTCCCCTCCTGCTCCTCACCTCCACTCACTCACTCCCTCCCCCCTTCACACGCACCTGCACTTGCTCCTGCAGCGAGCGCACGTATTGAATGGCCTCATCCAGCATCGATGCCGTGTCTGTGTTGCGTGCATTCGGCACCAGGTCATACAGCGCCCGCATGCGCTGGCTGATGCGGTCCCGGCGAAGCTGAAAACGGGGAGGAGTGAGGGGAGAGGAGGGAGGGGAGTGAGGAAGGGATTCCAGACCCCTGCATTCGGCACCAAGTCGTACAGCGCCCGCATGCACTGGCTGATGCGGTCCCGGCGAAGCTGAAAACGGGGAGGAGTGAGGGGAGAGGAGGGAGGGGAGTGAGGAAGGGATTCCAGACCCCTGCATTCGGCACCAAGTCGTACAGCGCCCGCATGCACTGGCTGATGCGGTCCCGGCGAAGCTGAAAACGGGGAGGAGTGAGGGGAGAGGAGGGAGGGGAGTGAGGAAGGGATTCCAGACCCCTGCATTCGGCACCAAGTCGTACAGCGCCCGCATGCACTGGCTGATGCGGTCCCGGCGAAGCTGAAAACGGGGAGGAGTGAGGGGAGAGGAGGGAGGGGAGTGAGGAAGGGATTCCAGACCCCTGCATTCGGCACCAAGTCGTACAGCGCCCGCATGCACTGGCTGATGCGGTCCCGGCGAAGCTGAAAACGGGGAGGAGTGAGGGGAGAGGAGGGAGGGGAGTGAGGAAGGGATTCCAGACCCCTGCATTCGGCACCAAGTCGTACAGCGCCCGCATGCACTGGCTGATGCGGTCCCAGCGAAGCTGAAAACGGGGAGGAGTGAGGGGAGAGGAGGGAGGGGAGTGAGGAAGGGATTCCAGACCCCTGCATTCGGCACCAAGTCGTACAGCGCCCGCATGCACTGGCTGATGCGGTCCCGGCGAAGCTGAAAACGGGGAGGAGTGAGGGGAGAGGAGGGAGGGGAGTGAGGAAGGGATTCCAGACCCCTGCATTCGGCACCAAGTCGTACAGCGCCCGCATGCACTGGCTGATGCGGTCTCGACGCAACTGAAGGTGGGAACCGGGGACGAGGAGAGAAGGGAGAGGAGAGTGTAATTTGCCTCCATGCATTCGGCACCAAGTCGCAGGCCCCCTCCGTGCTGGCTGATACGGTCCCTTAGAAACTCAAAGGAAAGAGAGGAAGAAAGACAGTGAGTCTGAGGGGAAAGTGGGTCTGAGGGGAAAGTGGGTCTGAGGGGAAAGTGGGTCTGAGGGGATAGTGGGTCTGAGGGGATAGTGGGTCTGAGGGGAAAGTGGGTCTGAGGGGATAGTGGGTCTGAGGGGATAGTGGGTCTGAGGGGATAGTGGGTCTGAGGGGATAGTGGGTATGAGGGGATAGTGGGTATGAGGGGATAGTGGGTATGAGGGGATAGTGGGCATGAGGGGATAGTGGGTATGAGGGGATAGTGGGTATGAGGGGATAGTGGGTATGAGGGGATAGTGGGTATGAGGGGATAGTGGGTCTGAGGGGATAGTGGGTCTGAGGGGATAGTGGGTATGAGGGGATAGTGGGTATGAGGGGATAGTGGGCATGAGGGGATAGTGGGTATGAGGGGATAGTGGGTATGAGGGGATAGTGGGTATGAGGGGATAGTGGGTCTGAGGGGATAGTGGGTCTGAGGGGATAGTGGGTCTGAGGGGATAGTGGGTCTGAGGGGATAGTGGGTCTGAGGGGATAGTGGGTCTGAGGGGATAGTGGGTATGAGGGGATAGTGGGTATGAGGGGATAGTGGGTATGAGGGGATAGTGGGTATGAGGGGATAGTGGGTATGAGGGGATAGTGGGTATGAGGGGATAGTGGGTCTGAGGGGATAGTGGGTATGAGGGGATAGTGGGCATGAGGGGATAGTGGGTATGAGGGGATAGTGGGTATGAGGGGATAGTGGGTATGAGGGGATAGTGGGTCTGAGGGGATAGTGGGCCTGAGGGGATAGTGGGTATGAGGGGATAGTGGGTCTGAGGGGATAGTGGGTATGAGGGGATAGTGGGTATGAGGGGATAGTGGGTATGAGGGGATAGTGGGTATGAGGGGATAGTGGGTCTGAGGGGATAGTGGGTCTGAGGGGATAGTGGGTCTGAGGGGATAGTGGGTCTGAGGGGATAGTGGGTCTGAGGGGATAGTGGGTCTGAGGGGATAGTGGGTCTGAGGGGATAGTGGGTATGAGGGGATAGTGGGTATGAGGGGATAGTGGGTATGAGGGGATAGTGGGTATGAGGGGATAGTGGGTATGAGGGGATAGTGGGTCTGAGGGGATAGTGGGTATGAGGGGATAGTGGGCATGAGGGGATAGTGGGTATGAGGGGATAGTGGGTATGAGGGGATAGTGGGTATGAGGGGATAGTGGGTATGAGGGGATAGTGGGTATGAGGGGATAGTGGGCATGAGGGGATAGTGGGTATGAGGGGATAGTGGGTATGAGGGGATAGTGGGTATGAGGGGATAGTGGGTATGAGGGGATAGTGGGTCTGAGGGGATAGTGGGCCTGAGGGGATAGTGGGTATGAGGGGATAGTGGGTCTGAGGGGATAGTGGGTATGAGGGGATAGTGGGTATGAGGGGATAGTGGGTATGAGGGGATAGTGGGTATGAGGGGATAGTGGGTCTGAGGGGATAGTGGGTCTGAGGGGATAGTGGGTCTGAGGGGATAGTGGGTCTGAGGGGATAGTGGGTCTGAGGGGATAGTGGGTCTGAGGGGATAGTGGGTATGAGGGGATAGTGGGTATGAGGGGATAGTGGGTATGAGGGGATAGTGGGTATGAGGGGATAGTGGGTATGAGGGGATAGTGGGTATGAGGGGATAGTGGGTATGAGGGGATAGTGGGTATGAGGGGATAGTGGGTATGAGGGGACAGTGGGCATGAGGGGATAGTGGGTATGAGGGGATAGTGGGTATGAGGGGATAGTGGGTATGAGGGGATAGTGGGTATGAGGGGATAGTGGGTCTGAGGGGATAGTGGGCCTGAGGGGATAGTGGGTATGAGGGGATAGTGGGTCTGAGGGGATAGTGGGTATGAGGGGATAGTGGGTATGAGGGGATAGTGGGTATGAGGGGATAGTGGGTATGAGGGGATAGTGGGTCTGAGGGGATAGTGGGTCTGAGGGGATAGTGGGTCTGAGGGGATAGTGGGTCTGAGGGGATAGTGGGTCTGAGGGGATAGTGGGTCTGAGGGGATAGTGGGTCTGAGGGGATAGTGGGTATGAGGGGATAGTGGGTATGAGGGGATAGTGGGTATGAGGGGATAGTGGGTATGAGGGGATAGTGGGTATGAGGGGATAGTGGGTATGAGGGGATAGTGGGTATGAGGGGATAGTGGGCATGAGGGGATAGTGGGTATGAGGGGATAGTGGGTATGAGGGGATAGTGGGTATGAGGGGATAGTGGGTCTGAGGGGATAGTGGGCCTGAGGGGATAGTGGGTATGAGGGGATAGTGGGTCTGAGGGGATAGTGGGTATGAGGGGATAGTGGGTATGAGGGGATAGTGGGTATGAGGGGATAGTGGGTATGAGGGGATAGTGGGTCTGAGGGGATAGTGGGTCTGAGGGGATAGTGGGTCTGAGGGGATAGTGGGTCTGAGGGGATAGTGGGTCTGAGGGGATAGTGGGTCTGAGGGGATAGTGGGTCTGAGGGGATAGTGGGTATGAGGGGATAGTGGGTATGAGGGGATAGTGGGTATGAGGGGATAGTGGGTATGAGGGGATAGTGGGTATGAGGGGATAGTGGGTATGAGGGGATAGTGGGTATGAGGGGATAGTGGGTATGAGGGGATAGTGGGTATGAGGGGATAGTGGGTATGAGGGGATAGTGGGTATGAGGGGATAGTGGGTATGAGGGGATAGTGGGTATGAGGGGATAGTGGGTATGAGGGGATAGTGGGTATGAGGGGATAGTGGGTATGAGGGGATAGTGGGTATGAGGGGATAGTGGGTATGAGGGGATAGTGGGTATGAGGGGATAGTGGGTATGAGGGGATAGTGGGTATGAGGGGATAGTGGGTATGAGGGGATAGTGGGTATGAGGGGATAGTGGGTATGAGGGGATAGTGGGTATGAGGGGATAGTGGGTATGAGGGGATAGTGGGTATGAGGGGATAGTGGGTATGAGGGGATAGTGGGTATGAGGGGATAGTGGGTATGAGGGGATAGTGGGTATGAGGGGATAGTGGGTATGAGGGGATAGTGGGTATGAGGGGATAGTGGGTATGAGGGGATAGTGGGTATGAGGGGATAGTGGGTATGAGGGGATAGTGGGTATGAGGGGATAGTGGGTATGAGGGGATAGTGGGTATGAGGGGATAGTGGGTATGAGGGGATAGTGGGTCTGAGGGGATTCCAGTGTGGGAAGGAAAGGCAGGGTCTTAATAAAAGGTCCAGGCTTGGCAGGCACTAAGCTTTTGAGGAAAGGCAGGGTCTCAAAACCATCAGCCCACTCACCCGTGCTGCCACTGAGTGCGGATCCGTGGCCGTCCCGCGCTTCTGCCTCTGCTTCTTCGCCTCTCCCCCAGACGCCTCCCCCTGGGCCCCCCCACTTCCCCCCCCAACAGCCGCACCAGCTGAAGACGTCCCCCCACCCGCCCCCGCCCCCCCTTTCTTCCCCCCTCCCCCTCTCCTCGCCCTCCCCCCTCCCCCGCTGTTCGCCCCACTGGCCTGCCCCGAACTCCCCCCAACCCCTCCCCCTGGCCCCCTCCGCCCTCCCCCTGCCTCCCCCCCTCCCTGCGCCTCATCCCCCTGCCCCATAACCTCATCTCTGTCACTCTCCCCCTCCCCCACATCACTACCCCAGGCTCGTTTCCTGCAAGGGCTCTCCCCCCTGAGGGGACTCCGCCCCCGGATGGGACTCTCCCCCCTTAGGGGACTTTCACTTCTCACCCTCTCCCTGCTGCCATCCCTACTGCCCATCCCCACTCCCCCTGCTCCCCCCGCCCCCGCCCCCCGGCCCCCACGTTCCCCACTCCGCCCCCTCCCGCCCTGCCCTGCTGAATTTCCCGGAAGCTGCGGGCTCCTGCCCGGCTTACTAGACCCTGACCCAGACCCTCCAGACCCCCCTCCTTCGAAAACAGAATTCGCAAACCCATCACCTGGGGAACCACCTGAAGACGTAAACCCACCTGGGCTCTCCCCCCCACCTGACCGCCCGGAATCCGTGCTCAGCGCAGGACTGAGCGTCCGGGCAGACGAACAATTCGACCCGCCCGCCAGCCCAGCAGCACCCCCGCCAGGAGTCCCACCACCCCCGCCCGGACCACCCGGGCTGTTCCCTAGCACACCACTGCTTCTGGCAAACTCTAACAGCTGCTTCTGCTCGGATTCTGGGAGGGAGGAGCTGCCGCTGGAGGTGCGGATGTGAGAGAGAGCCACGCGGCTGCGTTTCCCAGAGTTTTCAAACACCTCGGTGGAAGGCATATCCCCTATAGGCGTGTCTAGGGGAAGAAGCTCCAGCCCCACGTGCCACCCCGCCGGCCGCCCCTGTGCCTTCTCCTTCCCACTCCCACCTCCCCCTCCCCCTCCTCCTCCTCCTGCTGCTCCCCCTGCTGCCGACCCTCCTGCTCCTAGGGGCTCCCCATTAGACCCAGCCCCCAGGGGGACCCCATTCGGGTCCTGTAGAGACGTTCGGGAGGGAGCAGCGTTCAGGCTGGAAGCGCGACCCGCCAGGGGACCCCCTAGAACACCCCCCCCTAGGGGCACTCCCCCTCCTTTTGCGTCTATGCCGCTACGGGAGCCTGAGGCTCCCACAGGGGTGTTTTTCTTCAGAGAAAGGGAGTTGAGACTCCTAGAGGTCATCCCCGCGAAAAGATTTTGGCTGCTGCCAGCCGCTGCTGCCCCCGCAGGGCTCATGGCGGAGGAAAGTTTTGCTCTGCTGCCCGAGACTTCTGCGGCTGTGGCAGGGCTCATGCATACTGAGCTGGACTGGCCTGATTCTGACGTGTCAAACTCTAATGTGTCCAGATTCAGGCCGAATCCCGCTATGTTTATCCCCTCTAAAAGATCATTCACTGCACTCGCTTGGAGATTAAATATATTTTTCTCGCTGGTGGCCTGCCTGCCTCCTAATCCCCCTGCTGCTCCTCCTGCTCCTCCTCCTGCTGCTGCTGCTGCTGCTCCCCCTCCCCGGCTTTGCCCTGTTCCCGGCCTGCTTTGAGCTGACTCCTCTAACGCTCCCCCACCACTCGCTCCTGTCCCTCTCCCCTTTCCATCCACCTCCATCTCCCCTCCCCCGCCTCCTCGGCTCCCCTCCTGCATATCCTCCCCCCCGCCGTTCCCCACGCCCCCCACTCCCCCACGCCCGCCCCCTTCCGCGCCCAGCGAATCAGAGAGCTCGATGTTCCCCAGATCCGCTTGCGCCTGGGCGAGAATAGACCCCCACGCCTCCCCCATCTTCCCCTTCCCTGCAGCCGCTGCTGCTACTAACTCCGCCAGTACCTTTTCCTCTACAGACATTCCGCCCTTTCCGCCCTTAGCGCCGCTGCTGCTCCCCCCCGCGCCTATCCCCGCGCCACTGCTACTGGACTGCGCCTGCTTCCCCCCCATCTGGCGCGGCTGGCTTCCCCCAAACGCCCCCGTTCCCCCTCCCCCGCCCCCCCCCTGCTGGCGCATCTGCTGCTGCTTCTGCTGCAGCAGCTGGTTCAAAAGATCCCCCTGGGAGTCGCTTCCGCCACCAGGGGAGGCGGCGGAGGTGGGGGAGCGCGGAAGGTCAATCCCCCCCCGCCCTGGGGAAACGGGGGCCTGGGCGGAAACCCTAGCTCCCCCTGCGCCTCCACCTCCCCCTCCGCCTGCTGCCTCTGCTGTTGGTCTTGTGCTACTATCCTGACTGACGCTAAACGCGGATGCCTCAGGTGCGCTATCCGCCCTCCCCATGCCCTCATCCGCTCCGCCCTTCCCCCCGCCGACTCCCCCTGCGCCTTCTCCGCCTCCTCCGCCCGCGCCCCCCTTGGAGCTTCCGCCCGCGCCCGCCTTCCAGCTGGGGTTCCGCGAGGAGGACTGGCGGCGCTCCAGGGGGGAGGGGTTGGTTGGCGCGGACGGGCTGGGGCGGAAGGGGGAAAGGGGAAGGGGGAAGGGGGAAGGGGGACGTGTGGGGAGTGGGGCCGAAAGGGGAATGGTGAGGGGAAGGATGGGAGGATGCGGGGGCAAATGTGGTTGGATACGCAGTAAATAAAGAGTAAGGTAGGGAGTGGGGTAGGGAGAGGGATAGGGAGTGGGATAGGGAGTGGGGTAGAGCGAGGATTGGTGTGAGCTGGAGGGGCAACATTGGTTGCGCAGACGATTGGCGCACCAACAAGGCAGGGGGGGGGGGGGGGGGGACGCGGAGGATCTGGCATTGTGAGCGGAGGGATGAAACTTTTCTTTTAGCTCCTCAAAAATCGTGTCACGTATCTCCCATGTATTTCTATCCAAGTGTCAACCAGCGTTTGCATGGGCTGCATTGTTCGCGCTTGGCAACTTCATCAATTGTTCCTTGCAGTAAGTACTTCTTACACAGATTCTTACACTGATTCTTACACTGATTCTTACACTGATTCTTACACTGATTCTTACACTGATTCTTACTCCGATTCTTACTCCGACTCTTACTCCGATTCCGATTCTTACTCCAACACCCCTAGCTTGTCCCCTTCCCCAGACTCTTTTCCCCCACACAGCGTATGTGTTTTCTTACCCCCATCCCATACTCCTCCGCTCTGACAACCCAAAACTAGCCCCGTCAACTCACCTTTGCCCCTGCAGTTTAGCTGCCAGTGCTTTTCACAGCAGCATATCCTGCACTCCGTACTTGTCCCCGTCCCCATAATCCGTATCGCCTTGTTGACTCGCCATAACCCAGGACTCGCCTCGTCAGCTCACCTTTGTCCCTGCAGCTTTGCGGCCAAGGCCTCGCACAGCAGCATATCCAGCACCCCATACTTGTCCCCGTCCCCGCCTCCCGCCGCCGCTGCTAGCGCCGCCGCCGCAGCTGCCGCCGCGGAAGGGGAAGGGCCTCCCCCCGGCCGCGGAGGCTGAAGCGCGGACTGCTGCGCGCGCTGCAGCAGCGGCTGCTGCGCCTGCTGCTGCTGCTGCTGCTGGCGCGGGCGGGGCTGCGGAGGCGTTCCCCGCGGAGCAGTGGCCTGAAACGCATCAGAGGCACGCAATAAAGAGGCACGCAATAACGAGGCACGCAATAAACACGCACGCAATACGCCATACGCAGAAGGCGAGCTTGCCTGCGTTTGCCACCACACGTGAAACCTAATTTCTCTGCCGCAAAAGCTCATATATACGCGTGCAAAAAGGAACACACTTTTACAGACAGATACGTTGCGAACAGAACCCTCTCGTATGCGTTGCGCCAAAGGACTCGTTCGTACAAACGCTGCACGTACCTGGCCTAGCGCGCCGAGCAGCTGGTTCAGCAGCGCATTCTGTCTTGGCGAATCCCCAACCACTCCCAACCCCCCTCCACCCCCTCCCCCTCCTCCTCCTGCCCCTGTTCCTGCCCCAGCCCCTCCTCCACCCCCTCCTCCCCCACCACCACGTCCCGCCCCTCCTCCTCCGCCTCCCCCTCCGCCTGTGAGGGCCGTTACGAGCTGATCCAACAGCTGCTGCTGCTGCTGCTGCTCGTCCATTTGCATTCGCTGCGGCTGCTGCGGAGGCAACCGCTGCCCCATTTGCTGCTGCTGCCGCTGCTGCTGCTGCTGCTGCTGCCGCTGCTGCTGCTGCTGCTGTTGCAGAAGCGGGTTTGGCGGGGTCGACGGCGATCGCGCCACGCCGGTGACCGCCTGAAGCTCCGCTAAGAGCTGAAGCCTCGCTACAATATCTTGCACTGACGGGGATGGCGGGGTGCTCGGAGTCCCGGGGGTCCCCGGCGCAGCCAATGCCCCCAACGCCGCGGCAATCGCCGCCGCGTTCATCCCCCCGCCGCCCCTTCCCCCCGCTGCGCCTAACCCGCCGGTTCCGCCAGCCCTTCCGCTTCCGCTTCCGCGTCCCCCCCCGCCAAGCCCGCCGAGCGCGGCGGCGAGGCTGGCCAGTGATTGCGCCTGCTGCCCCTGCTGCCCCCCCCGCGCGACGCTGGCGATGAGCTGGTCTAAACCGGGGGAAGCGTTTCCGCCCATGGAGAAGGGGGACATGGGGGAGGTTGGCGTGCGCGCGGAAGCATCCGCGGCGCGCAGATGCACCTGGAGGTTCATGGAGGAGATGGGGGAACGGGGGGAAGTTACACCGCCAATGGCGGCATTGGAGGCGCCAGCACCGCCGAGAAGTGAGGTGAGCTCGTGTAACACGGATTGTATTTGCTGGTCCTGGGGAGACGAGCGCTGCTGCTGCGGCTGGTGCTGCGGCTGCTGCTGCTGTTGTGGTGACTGCCGTTGCTGCTGTAGCAACGGCTGCTCCGGCTGCCGGCGCTGCTGGTTCTGCTGGTTTTGGTTCTGTTGGTTTCCCTGCTGTCGTTGAAGCTCTTGCAGCAGCTGCTGCAGCTGAAGCACGTCCTGAAGAGTAGAATAAACGACAGAATGTGAAATAGAGATTTGAAGTAAATCAATAGAAAAGCACGTAAGGTACAGAGAGGCACACAAATGAAACGTAGATTTGCAGCTAGCACAAAAAATTGCCAAGAGACTCGGTATGGCACGCAATCAGAAGTGAACATGGAAAGAGGCGGAGATCCGTGAAGCTTACTTGCGGCGTGCTTCCCATCGCGCTCCAGTTTATTCTGTTCGTCGACTATTGTTACGTTCTCTACCTGCCTCGAAACCAGTTTCTTCGACTGCTGATCCCTGGCGCGCCGAAAGCCGTTTCTTCGTCTGCTGCTAGCGTTCTAAGGGCCGTCTTGGGAGCTCGAGTGGGCTCTACTGGTCCCACGCAAAGGCTTTCACTTGGTAAGAACTTTGCAGATTTATGGCTGTATAATAAATACTGAAGTTCAGGCTACATGGTGCAAACAGCTAGATTGTGCGTGCTGTTTCCCGCAACAACGGAGAGCATCTAAGGGTCGCAACACGCTTCAGTGGAACGAAGGAGCGACACGGATTCATGGTTGTTCATTCGGACATGCACGGACCGCACTGAAACGCGCATAAGGATGACGTAATGGCACTGTGCGCTCCAAATCGTGGCGATGAGAGTAGCACGGCTTCAGTGCCACGACGACTCGTGTAATCGTAGGAAGGAAGCCATTCAAAGCTTCTGATTCCCACATAAGATTGAAGAAGTATGGCTCAAAGACCGTCAGGCACGCTGCAATAAGCTTCCAGACCAGACATACTTTTTGCCAGCCTGACACTCCGTCACGGGTTGAAGTTTGTACTTATCAGACAACCGTACATGCCTCGTAAAAAGAGGCAACAATGGCAAAGCAAGTTTAGGGCGTGAAACATTTGGGCTTTTTTTCAGAACGAACCTACGGTTCGGAAAAATTTCGCTCTGAAACGTATTGGCAAATGGACCATTTTCAACCGTTCAGAAGGTACGGTTCGTCTGGAATTTTTTCCAAATGTTCCACGCCCTTAGCAGTGAGGAAACAGGTTCAGCAGAATTGCGATCCAGAGCAGCAGCAGAGATGCATTTGACGAGCACCAACCCCAATGTTGGGCTTCCCCTTGAAAAAGTCCTGCTTTTTTGGGACCTTCGCACCACAGGAATTCTGACGAGAGTACTTCCCTACAACAAATTCCAGGCTCGGGGTTATTCTTAGGAGGCTTTGAATGACGCTTACAGTGGAGTGCACAAATGTGAGGCAGGAAGTGGTGAGCATGTGTCATACACGCAGGGAGACTTTCTTAAGCGAGTGTACTGGTTTTGCTGTATAATGAGGGAACAGATGAGAACTTAGGTCCACATTTTGGAATTCCTGGTTGAGCTGGATGTTGAATGTGAAATCAGTGTCCCTGTCTAGAAGGATTCTGGTTCTTGTTGCCCACATCATTCAGGTTCTCTGGGTACACAAGATGCCCAACCCCTGCACGCGAATTTTCTCTGCCCGCGATGGAAACTCTGCACCCGTGTATTAGGGTACCAGGCAGTTGCACCCCATTTATAAGCACCTCGAGCAATACGAACCACAAAAACCGAAGTTTGACAGAAGAGACCCATGTCAAACAGTCAACAGCGAGTTACAAAATCTTTTAAAAGCCCTTTTTGCTAAGTGCGAATTGACGAAAGCTTAGCGAAATGCAAGAATCACTTAAGAGCCCTCTTAGCAAGGCAACCTTGGGTTAGTCAAACGGGCATCGTGTGTAATAGACATGCCAGAAAACAGCCTGGTCCAACCAATCTTCAACTGACACTGCAGCAATTTCGTGGTCTACGCCAGCCGAGACAAGGAATGGGAGCTTTGTTGGGCGACTTGGTTTGGGACCACTATGATTGGTCTGGAAGATTACCTAACCCATCAAGCCACAAAAAGCCTGTGGTGGTGTGGGAAAGTGCTGAGCTGATGAAATCGAGGTGACAGGTTGGAGAGTGGGGCAACACGCAGTTTGGATGCTAATTTGGTGAACAATCAAATGTCGGGTATGGAATAACTGAAAATTAATGTGCGGGGCAGCTTTGGCGGCGGAGAAAGCCCTCGAGTGTCGTTGACAGAAAGTCGTTCATGGTTGCCAATGGACGTGTGGTTGGTTGCGACGATTCCAGCAGCGTTGACGCCGTGTCACTGTTTTTCGTCAACGGATGTGCACGCAAGTGCTTTCGCCAAGGTGGAAGCGTTTTTCGTGTTCTGCAGCCCCTGCTTAGATGGCCTTCCTGGGCTGTCCCAACTTCGAACTTGGGACAGCAAAAAAGTGCACTTAACACGTGCAAGAGATTGGGCAGGTGATGAGGTGGAGGGAGAACAAATCTGGACGTCGCAATTGTTCAGAGGTCCCCAGCGTGCGAAAACCCCACATGATCGGACGGTTAATCCTGACCAGTGAGAGCTGAGATGCGATCACAGATCGTAGATGGAGTCGTGCAGGAAGCTTTTATCGCACACTGGAGAGTAGGTGAGAACGTGAAAGCAACGTGAAAACAACGTGAAAGCCACCACGCTGGACCCAGATATTTTGTACTTTTGGGGGCTGTCCTGTCCCAAGTTCGCAGGAAGGCGATCTTAGAAGAAATTGTGGATGGTTTCCGGGCCTTAACAAAGCATTGCTTACCGAAGTTCACAGTTGCGACTGACGATGTATGGATGTAATGGTGCAGTGCAACAAAACACCCAATTAAAAAACTTACCGAAGTTGATAATTTTTTTTTTTCATTCCGTACAAAGACGCTTCCAACCTAACTTTTTCACTGAGGGCTACGTCAAAAACTTACCGTCTGTCTTTGACGCAGCCCTCAGTGACAAATGCTGGCCCACTTGGAGCAAGGGTGAGCTGTTGCGTCTCTGAGCAGCACTGTATCGACCTTCCACACCTCCCCCAAAAGCTTTTGAAGGGGATTGCGTGTCTCTGGTGGGATGAAAGTGTTTTTCGCAACGCTATGAGACTGAACAAAAAGGTTTATTCACTTCAAAAATAACACCTTTAATACAGCAGAATACAACCGTGCTTGGAACCTCTAAAGCAACAAGCACAAGTGTTGACCCCTAGAGGCCATTATTACCCAGTATTGAACATTTATGGTAACAACATATAATGCAACAATGCGGGAGCTTGACACTTCCAAAGCTCTGTACGAAAGAGCTCTCCAAGAGGTAGCACTTCATCAGCTCCACATCTTATTCCAAAATATGAGTTCACCTTGTGATCTTATCTTGTATATAAGCTGATGCCTCTCACCCTAACGTCTCCAGATTTTATTACCAAGATACCCCAATTACCTTGTCCAAATCAATTTCACCCCATCACGATGTCATCACCATCGCCGCCACAGCCCCAGAACAGCCCCATCAGATCTGCATCCATGCCAGCATCCATGCCAGCCCCACACACCTCATATGTTTCTTCTGCCTCCTTTCCTCCTGCCCCAGTCACCTCCTGAGCTGAGGCCTCTTCCAAAAGCGCGTCCTTATAATGCACCTCCCCCAGGTGCGGCGCCTCCGATTGGCGCTGCTGCTGCGCTCTATCTGGCTTTTGCTGCGCCCCATGTTGCGCCTGCAGCGCCACCCCCTGATGCTGCGCCAGCCCCTGATGCTGCGCCTCCCCGAGACCCATCTCTCTCAGAGGAGCTTCCGCCGCTGCAGTCGCAGCCTCAAAGAAATCTTGCTGCCCGCCCAAACTGCCCGAAAGCTCCTCGAAATCATCCAAGAACGTGCCGGAGAGATCGCCTTCACCCCCCTGCGGGGAGGAAAGGTCCGCACGCGGAGCTCCACCGTCGCTGCCTATGGTGTCTGCGGAAGCGGAAACGGAAACGAGCTGCTCCGCTTCCTCTCCCCACTGGGATTTGTCGTCCGCAGGTGACTCCATCACATATTGCGCGCAAGCCGCGGTTTCCTGCGCCATTTCCATCACAATCCCCTTCTGATCACCTCGTTCCGCGCGGTGTCTATTCTGATCCGCGCCCGTCTGATGCGGATGGGAAATCAGCTCTTTACGGACATACGGGCTTCGTGCCTTCGATTTTTTCTCGTCCGCGTTAAGGAGATTCTCGATTTGCGTGATCTTGTTGAGAATCTTTGCAATGTGTAGCAGCATCTGCGCGTAGTCCCCCTTCAGCAGCTCGTAGTCGTTCCGCATCTCGCAGCACTGCTCCGCCAATCCCGCGTGCGCCGCGCGCATCTTCCGCAGCTCCGCCTCCCCCTGCTTCGCCTGCCACTCCAGCTGCCGCGTCTGGAACCACGCGGAGACCTGTCGGGGGAGAAGCCCCAGCTCCGCCGCCAGCTGCCACTGCCTCTCCGGGGACACGACAACTTGCCCCCCTGCTTGCGCCTTTCCCCCATGCGCGGATCCTTCCTGCGGCGCTACCGCCGCCTGAAACACCTCCTCAAGCCGCTGCACCTGTGAGGGCTGCGCGCGCTGGCGCTTGCGCGAATCTTCCGCTGGCGTTTCCGCAGGGGCGCTCGTGGGCTGAGCGGAAAGCCGGGGGGTTTGCGGAACGCGGTGGGGGTTTACGGGGCTGCTGCAGGTGCTGTCGCTGTCGACCTCCTCGAGAAGCAGCGGAGTCGGAGGGGGCGCAAGGCGCGGGAATGCGGGGGAGGCGGAGAGGCACTGCGCGGACCGCAGCACTGAGCTTGGAGTCGGCGGAACGGCAGGGGGAAGGACAAGCGCATCGTCGTTCTCGTCCCATGGAGCCAGGCGGCGCTTGAAAGCGCGCCGGGCGGAAGAGGGAGTCGGCGGAGTGTGCATATCGGCCGAGGGGAGAGCGGAGAGAGCGGAGGGGGGAGCGGAGAGAGCGGAGAGGGGAGCGGAGAGAGCGGAAGGGGGAACAGAGAGAGAAGAAAGGGGGACAGAGAGTGAGAAAGAGGGCGCGGAGAGAGAAGAAGGGAGAGAACACGCCGCGACTGCGAGAGCCTTATGGTCTGCGGTTCGAGCGGAGGAAGCGCAATGCGAAGGGGTGGAGGGAGAAGAGAAGACCTCGCCAGCCGGAGTGACGTCTCGCGGGCGCTTCGAGCCTCTCTTCGTCGTCGCAGGGGCGGTTGCCCTCGCGACGGCGCCAGCGCCGCCTGCGGCGGCGACGGCGGCGATTCTTGCAATATCTAACATCGGCGAAGCGGTGGCTGCCGCCATATCGCAACGGCCGAAGTACATGCGATTCAATGCGGAAAGCTTGTCGACAACCTCTATTGAAAGTTATCAGCCAGGTCGGTTACACCTTCTGGGAGTGGATTATTCCACTTTTTCTCCCTACGGTCAAGAGTCGCAAGAAACGAGATATACACTCATGAAACATCTCACTCATTCACAGATTCGAGTAGGCGAAGATCAAGAACGAGCCACTTGGGAAGTTGCTTCAACGGCCTCAGTCCTAAGATTTCAACGCAAGTACTCGTGAAGGGTTCGAAGCACTGAGCTTTTATGCCTCTTGGTGGGTTGGGTTGGGTACACTTGTCTGTCTGGTGTTGGGAAATTGGGATCTGTGGGAGAGGGGCAGGTTGGGGCGGGGTTGGGGGATGCTTGGAGGGGCACTTTGGCAGGCTGGGCAAAGTTGACGCTTCGGGAGGATACAGCTTCCGCGAATCAGAACCTGCACGTAGGTACGGACGGTGGGCTCGGCAATGGCGACAAGCCTCGGCTGAGGTTTGATATGGATCATTGCCCAACAAAACATCCCACAACAGAGAGAGAGCCCCTGCCCTTGTTTAGTGTTCGCTGTGCCCACGAAACACTACCTGGGATTTGGCCTGCGCGGCGACCTTGGCCTTCTCGAGGTTGCGCTTCTGTTGGTGGCGGGTGACATGCCGGCTCTGAGTCATGTGCGCGGCAGGTGATCAGGGAAAAGCGCGACAAGTGAGTCAGCCTTTCCGATTTCTCAGCAGCGAAACTAGGCGAATCGGGCCTTTTGGATGTGGGAAACGTACGTTTGCGGAAACCTCGTACAGTATGTGTGGAAAAAGTACCGTAAGTATATAATAAATTAACTAAAACAAACAAACAGAAACATTTTGTGGCAGCTGAAAAAGGGTGACGAAACGAAATCCATCGTACCGCACGATGCGGCCAGGGAGGGAAAATATGAACACCGGGAAGCCATGGGGTGGGGACAGGTCAGACCCCGTCAAATGCGACACCTGCCAAGAAGCCAGCTGGGTCGGCTCTGCGCAGCTTGCGGCAGGGGTCCGCCCGCATGCCAGAGTCGATGTGTTTGTGGTTCGGCGATAGGCTCGACAAAGATCAAGAATCACAAGTCAGGTACGGAAGGCTAAGGTGTGTGTTGATGTCATCATACCACCCCATCTCTGACATTGTGTATAAGCCATTCCCCATTGGTCCGCAAAACTGACAATCTGGAACCCGCGCTTCCACGACAATGAGACGAAGCACGTTTCAAGGAAGAGAGGAAAAGTGAGTTGCTTCTTGAAGATACTTGTGTAAAACTCGAATCACAACATGCCATCTGGGTAAGGCTATATGGAGTATGTTAGCACTCAATGATATGCGCCTTCTAAACATGTACACTACACTCCAAACATATAGGCGGCCTTGCGATCGTAACTTGCTGCTCGATTCTCCCCCATATAATTTGACGTGGAAAGGTCATTCATGCACGTGGATGTAGGAGGACGCGCCACATCAGACATATCCAGATCACAACACTCGTGAAACATCACTAGTGTTCAGTCTGGAATACAGTGCTTTGAATGTGGCTATGCCACGGAAGCAAGCCATGAAACTTTCGTTCGTAAGAGTTCATAATCCGATTCGATGAACGGTTTGTTTACATTCTCGACCGGTTGAACGAGGTTTCTAGCCACATCTACTTATGGCTGCACTAATCTGATTCGGCAGCAGCTCAGTGGTTTTAGCTCGCAAAACCCTAGGTTGGCCATTTGCACTCTCCTGGTCAACTAACTTCTCGTCCCCTTTTATCATTTTATTACTGGTCGCATTGACAGCTTGGTGTTTTCTTCGGTTCTTACTGGGTTCTGAAATTAGGTGGCGTCGTCGCTCTGGATCCTGTCGGGTTTGCCATACGTTCGAGCCTAAACACGCTATCGTGAAACACGTTCAAGGCGCGAGCGAAGATGGTCAGGCGTATAACAGCGCCCCACGTGTCCGATTTTTCCAATTTAGACGGGAAAGATGGCCCAGGCTTCGCACTGACCCTTCCAGGATTCGATCCCGCGTCTTTCGCCTCCTCCCTTCACAATGCCGTCGATCATCAGAAGCAGCGTTTCGACCGGTTCGTCAAGGTACAATTGGGGAAGGTTCAACTGCGCCAGAAATCGACAAATGCAGCGCAACTAGAAAGCTCTCAGCCTGCTGTGCATTGGCCAATCCGAAGGCGCGGGTCGACCCGCAGCGCAGTTGGTACCGTCCAATTCGTTTCCAGTCCCCCTTTCGCCGCTGTAGCTGCCGACTCGCTAAAAGCACCCGCGTCAGCAGCCCCGGAGAAAAAAGACGGAGGCGCTTCGTCAGCGGGATCAGCGGCGGCAGATGCGGGGGGAAATGCGGTGAAGCCGACGCTCGCGCAGTACCTGCGTAAGCCCATCGCGCTGTTCAGCTTCATCCCGAAAGACGCGGCGCTGTTCTTCGCCGGCGCCGTCGCGGGCGGCACGGCCAAGACGGTGACGGCTCCGCTGGACCGCTGGAAGCTCATGCTGCAGGTAAGAAGAAGGAAGGGGAACGGGGGGAAGGGAGTTGGGGGGCGCGAGGGGGAAGGGGGGGGAGGGCGCGGGGGGGGGGGGGGCGGGTGTGCGGGGGTGGAGAGAGGGGGAAGGAAGAGTGAAAGATACGATTATGAAGCTCGTGCCACCAGTATTTGGTGGACATTAAGGGGGTGAAAGATGATTAAGATTAAAGGCTTATCGCTGCGCGAAGCGCCGCAGGTATGCGCATCGCTGGACGCTCATGCTAGCAGAGCAAGTTGAGGTGCGTTTTTTTTACCACTGCCTAACAGGAATGGCATTAAGAACCATTAATATTTACTGCCCGCGGTTAAGGGTCTTCATTAATATTTACTGCCTCAAGTCGCCGCGACCCGTCTCCGTACCTTCACCAGTCAGTGACCTTCGAATGAACCCCGCTATAAGCATACCCCGCTACCCTGCTATGTGCCTCCCCAATTCTTTACCCCCTCCCCTCCCCTCCCCTCCCCTCCCCCCCCCCCCACAACCACCCTTACCCCTCTTCCTCTCCGCAATCCCCATTGTCCACACCACAATCCCTCCTTTCTCCGCGTCCCGCCCGCGTGTGTGACTCGCACGTGCGCAGCGTGCAGATGCCTCAAGGCGTCGCCGACCTTCCAACATTTCTTAACACTTTCTCCCTACCCTCTCCCCCACTCCCTGCCCCTCTCCCCTCTCCTCCTCTCCTCCGCCCGCCCCCCACCTCCCTCCGCGTGTGTCTCGCAGGTGCGCAGCGTGCAGATGCCTCAAGACGTGTTCGATCTTCCAACTGTTATAACACTTTCTCCCTATCCTCTCCTCCCCCCGCCCCCCCCCCCCCCCCCCCCTCCCCCCGCGTGTTTCGCAGGTGCGCAGCGTGCAGATGCCTCAAGGCGTCGCCGCCAAGCCGGTCGGGCTGCTGGACGTGAGTATGCACGCGCGTTGTCTTCGCACGGTTTCGCCTAGATTTTGCGATGTTTTCACATACATTTCGCCATTCTTCGCTCAACGCGTTGTCGGAAATTCTCTGACGTCCTAAAATCGTTTTTTTACCTCTTTTTTTTTCTCATCTCTCTTTTCCTCCGCAAATTCCATCGCGACAGTAGGAAATTCTCATCCCCCTATTTTTGTCGCTTTACTGTTTTGCGCGAGCAGTCGTTTCTAGCGATCGGGCAGAAGGAGGGCGTGCTGGGCTACTGGAAGGGCAACTTGCCGCAGGTGCGTCGCCTGGGTGGTCACTGGGGTAGGTAATATCTAGGTCGTCTGTGTCTGTCTGTCTCTGTGAGTGTGTGTGTGTGTGTGTGCAGACATAACTTTATGAAGTCATTTGTTCATGCCGATTTGATTACTTAGTGTTTTCAGCGTGCACATATATTTTTTTGTAACTTTTAGTGTTTTCTTGCGTTCCGCCCTAACGCATTGCGTCGTCCCCCTATGGTCCCGTCTCTTCAGGTCATCCGTATCATTCCCTACAGTGCAGTTCAGCTCTTCGCGTATGAAATGTACAAGGTACGTTTCATCTTCGTTTCATTCCACAGTATGCAACTGCGTTTGGCATGAGAGCTTGTTGCCTGTAATAACTCGGAACTGCTGAAGCTCGTTGTTTGTCTTTTTTGTAACCTTTTTCTTTGTTCTTCCCCATTCTGTCCGTCTTCATGCGCTTATAACGGGTATGGGGTGGAGCAGAAGGCATTCCTGGGCAAGGACGGGGGGCTCTCGGTGCCTGCCAGGCTGGCAGCTGGCGCATGTGCTGGCATGACGTCAACACTGGTACGTGTGTGCTGGCATGACGTCACTACCAGTTGGTGTGTGCATCCCATGACACATGTTCTATGCACTCTTATTTTTATTGTCTTCACTTTTATTCCATGTCCTTACATGCAATGTCCTCACCCCTCTCCAAACCGCATCCTTCCCCTCTCCTCCCCTGAATCCCCCCTCCTCTTTCCCCCCCTTCCCCCTGCTGTCCCACCTTTCCCTTCCCCCACTTCCTCCCTCTTCTCCTCCCCCCCTCCCCCCTCCACCATCCCCCAGATCACCTACCCTCTGGGCGTGCTGCGTTTGCGTATGGCTGTGGATCCGGCGTCAAGGGGCATGTTTTCAGTAGCCCTGGGCTAGGAGGGCGTGCTGTAGCTAGTAGTACCCGTGCACCCAACCCAACCCCCTCCTTTCTCCCCCATGTCTCCTCTCGCACCTCCACCCCTCAGATCACTTACCCCCTGGACGTTCTGAGGCTGCGCCTGGCCGTGGATCCGGCATCAAGGGGAATGCGCTCGGTGGCGATGGGCATGATCCGCGAGGAGGGCGTGCTGTCGTTCTACAAGGGCCTCGCGCCCTCCCTCATCTCCATCGCGCCCTACATCGCTCTCAACTTCTGCGCGTTTGACCTGTGATTCCCTCCCTTCCCATATGTGACTGTGAGCTCTGAAGCCTATGTGTCAGCAACGTGTGAGTAAATTCTGATGACGCTTGTGCCCTCATATGCAGCTCATCCCAGCTCCATCACTCCCCTTCCACCCCCTCCCTTCCCTAGTGCTCATCCCAGGATGTGGTATCGTTTGCTTGCACTGGCCCTCACCACGTCCTGAACCTGAACACCTCCTCCTCGACCCTTTCCACCTGTCCCCCCCCCCTCTCTCCTTCTGCCTTTCATTCCACTCCCCCCACCTATGCAGCATCAAGCGCTCGATCCCTGAGAAGTACCGCAAGACCCCGCAGGCCTCCTTTGTGACCGCCCTCTGTGCCACCACGTTTGCAACTGTGATGTGCTACCCGCTCGACACGGTGCGGCGGCAGATGCAGATGAAGGGGTCGCCCTTCAACTCGGTGTTTGACGCCATTCCCGGCATCATTGCGAGGGATGGAGTGGTCGGGCTGTACCGGGGTTTTATTGCCAACGCGCTCAAGAACCTTCCTAACAGCAGGTGAGAACCTTCCTGACCTTCTTGCAGCAGGTGGGTGGGTGTTTGCCTGCTTGTGCTGCTGCTAAGGGGGTGCCATACCTACCAACCCCTCTGTATGAAGGGGTCGCCCTTCTCCTCAGTGTTTGATGCCATTCTGGGCATCATTGCGAGGGATGGCGTGGTCGGGCCGTACAGATGCTTCATTGTCCTCTAGGACCTTTTTAACAGCAGGTGGGTGGCTGCTTGCTTGTGCTGCTGTGTGATTGTGTTGCTGTTTAATAAAACTTCTGAGCTTTTAGCACAGACTAGCAACCCAACTTGCCCCTCCGCCCCTTTCCTTCACCCCCACCCCCCCCCCCCCCTTTTTTCTGGTAATGGCTGGCAGCATTCGCCTGACAACGTATGACACCGTGAAGCAACTGATCGCATCAAGCCGTGACGAATACGCCAAGCTTGTGAAGGAAAGGGAGGCCCAGATTAGTGCCAACTGATGATTGTCTCATGGTCTACCAAAAATCTCTAACCACCTATAGCCAGTTGTCTTGGAAAACGTTTATAAGAAAATAATTTGTAACTCCTACTGTTGAGTGTAGATCTTGACATTCAGCACGAATTTTGTCAAATTTGAATCAACTGTTCTCTGCCGCATACTTAACAATTGTAAACCAATCAGAAGTAGTCTTTCCAGCTTTTTCTTGTGCTCGAGCCGCTGATTTGGCATCCTCAGTGACGCACTGTTGATATCGTACAGTGCTTTTCTTTGTCTGCTATTGGATTGTAGAGAAAAGGGAACTTTACTGTGCAAACCTTCCACAGCTCCAGCTTTGGAAAGTTCCATGGCTGCAAAAAGGGGAGGATGACGAGAGCGAAAGGATGACGTGGCATCTTCGCATCCTCAACACCCTCTGCCTTCCTCGAGGTGGACAGGTCTGGCAAGGGTCGCCCTTTTCAGGAAACACAGATACGCTTGGAGAAAGTTACGATAACGAGCGGAATCGGATGTAAACAAGGGATTTCGGAAGTCCAGACACAATTGATGACAGAATCGAGGGAGGTGCGAATGAGAAACCCCCAGGCGAAGCTGTTACCTCGAGCTTGTCGAAAGCTTTCTGCTCCTCCAAATAAAGCTGCTACTGATATTATGAACTGCCTGCAACAACTGCCTTCGTCGAAAAGAGCTCTTCTCACGAGCTCTCTTCCACCTCGTCCTGCAAATGCCCCTGCTGTGTGTTGCTACTACCGATGTGCTGCTGTCCCTGTCATTTGGTTTGGTACCATCGAGTTACAGAGCCAAATTTGAACAGCTGGGAAGGGGTCAGGGGCTGCAGATGCACCAGTCCAGGAAGGTCCAATCTTAGCTTCCAAAACTCCGATACCATCCGTCACTTCAGGGTATAAGACCGACTGTTGACTAGTTGTCCTGTTTCCTCGAAACAGCTCTGGCTCCTAAGGTTGCTCAAGTTGCCTTATTAAGTTGTAACGTCTTCGGAATTCTGCAGCTTAACTGAACAATCTGATGACATGACACTCCTCTTCCAGTGTCCGTAGCCAACAATTCCTTTCTTCCCATCCTAGTCCTTATAGTTGGCGCACGAGCACCCTAATTTGTGTGCTACACTTTTTCTGACACGTGTAGTTCGTTATCAAGAACCGTTATACGGTCGGTCTTCTTAGAAGCCCCTTTAGGCCGAACCTCCCCCAAACAATCAGCCTCTTGAAGACGAAATTGCTAGAGCTGTAGAAGCCGGTATTAATCTCCTTATCGTTACGAGCTTCTAAGTCATTCCAACCTCTTAGTCAGTCAGAGCTACTTATATATCAGGGGTTCCTATCATTCACTGCTTCTATCAGTCAGGCCTCCTCCTTACCCGCCACATCTCAGTCAGAGCTCCTTTCCGTCAGAACACGTTTTTTAGCTCAACGTTTAGAGCATCCATTCACGTTTTCAGCTTAACGTTCAGAATCCGCTTATCATTCACAGCTTAACGTTCAGAGATACCTGTCAGCCAAAGCCCCTTATCAGCCAGCGTCTCGAAATCAACTCGTCATCGTTCAGAGCTCATTGTCGCCTAGGGCTCCTCATAACAAATTCTTGAAGCTTCGAAATAACCATGGCTGATTCGGCGAAAGCGGATTTCCTGCAAGGGGAGTTTGACGACGCCATATTCTCCATGACAGACTTTGAGGTGCGTCCGCTTTAGTCACAAGCCATCGCCATTCTTAGTATACATATCTCTAGGAGAGTCGAGTCAACAGCATCCGCCGTTTCGTTCCTCCCGCCTCACTTTCCCCAATCGCCTTATCCAATCCGTTTCCCCCTCCTCGTTCTTCCGTCTCCCTCATCAGTCCTAGCATGCGAGGTTCGCGCTGTCTTACCTGGTCTCGTTTCTTCCCTTTTCCCTCTACTGTATCCTCGCCTTCATCACACACACTCCGTGCCATGACATCAAGTGTTGCCGTTTTTCGTGGCTCTTGATACTCTTTTTTCATCGTTCTCTGCCTGTCCATCTCCCGATCCTCTCCCCCAATCCACGGCAGAGCATCACGTTCGACGCCATGGGCGACATGGGCCTGGCAGACGACGGTCTCGCCGCCATGAGCGCCGCATTGAACGGACTGTCCGCCACGAACGCCGGTCCTGCTACAAACGCGGGGACGTCCGGCGGTGGGGGTGTCCCTGTGCTGCCAGACGCCGTCCACGCGCCCAGCCAGCACGAGCCGTGCAACGACGACGTGGTCTTTAAGTCTTATGTGCATGGCACCGAGGCTCGCGTTGGCCTTCAACCCCTGCCTGCTGGTACTGCTGGTGCTGCTGCTGCTGGTGATGGTGCAGGTGCTGGTGCTGTCGGTGCTGGTGCGGGTGCTGCTTCTTGTCCTGCTGCGGCTGGTGGTTCTGCTGCTGATGCGTCTGAAGCTGCTGCTGCTTCTCCGGGTGGTGCCGTTCCCAGAGGTGCCGGAGCTGGTTCCGTGCCAGGTTTGGTGGCAGGTTTGGTGGCAGGTGCAGGAACCTGTAACGCAGGTGGTGGTAACACATGCTCTGGTATGTGTGTGCCTGGGAGGGAGAACAAGGGTGAGGCGCTTGAGGGGAGGACTACAGGAGAGGTGAAACCGAGAACTCCAACCGCTAAGTCAAATCTAAAACGGGTCTTTGAGCCAGCCTATATGGAGGACGGAGATGGGGCTGGGTTTGAAGGTGGTAATACCATGAGTGCCGGTAACCACATGAATGTTACAGAATCAGGGGAGCAGCAAGGGGGTAGGGTAGAAGGAGTGCGCATGGCAGGCGCTGCTGCTGCCACGTCATCACCTCAAGGTTCCAACGACAGCCACACGATGAGCTCGTCTCCTCCTTCGGCCTGCAAGCCTCTGCCGTCTCAGGCTCAAGGCCTTACACAGCCTCACAACCACCACCAACAGCAGCGCCAGCACCAACGCCAACACCAGCAACAGCAGCAGCTACAGCAGCAGTACCAGTACCATCACCAGCAGCAGTTGCTGCAGACGCAGCAGCAGCAGCAACAGCATGTGTCGTCCTCTGGTCTGTCGGCCTCCGCGTCTGCATCTGCTGGTCAAGTTCAGGAGAGAGGGAGGGTGATGAGTCCGTCAGTCTCCCACAGCAGCAGGCACGGCGGTCAGGCAATAGCAGCAGCCGCAGAAACGCAGCAGCAGCAGCAGCAGCAGCAGGCGATGTTGCAGCAGCAGCAGCAGGCAATGTCACAGCAGCAAATGATGTTGCAACAACAACCGATGTCACAGCAGCAGGCAGCGGCACAGCAACAAGCCATGGCCAGACATGCGTTTCAGATGGCATCTTGGCAGGGACACATTGCAGCAGGGGGACAAGGGCACATGGCAGGAGGAGGACAACCACATATGCAAGGTGCCATCAATCAGTCGATGAAACAGGAGCAGCTCGAGGGGCAACCAGTGGGCGGGGGAGAAGGAGTAGGACCAGGGGACGCATCAGGAGCAGCAGTTATTGGTAGCAGCACAGGAACAGCAGCAATGGCATCTCACCTAATGCAAACCGCAGCCACCACCACCAGCACCGCCACTGGCACCACTCTCCCTGCCCTCCGCCCCATCATGCCCCCTTCCTTGCGCGGCCTGCCCAACCTCCCAGGCCTGCCCCCGCCCTTTGTCTTTCCCCCCGGCATGCTCCCTGGAAACGCCACTGGCGCTGCGTTGCCACGCCCCCTTTCAGTGGGGAGCGTGGGAAGCATGGGGGGAATTGGGGGCATGGGGACCATGGGGGGGATGGGAGCCATGGGGGGGATGGGGGGCATGGGGGCGGGGATTGTGGGCGCTGGTGTTTCGTCTCTCCCTGGTTTACCGGCGCTTCCAGTTGGCATTGCACGCCCTTCTAGAACAGCTGCAGTTGCAGGCAGAATTGCTGGTGCTGCTGATGGTGGTGGTGTTGGTGCTGTGGGTGCAGCAGGGAGATCCAGTCCCGTTTCTGCTACAGGCTCAGCAACTGCAATGGAAGCAACAACAGCGACTGCAGCTTCTTCCGCAGCAGCAGGAGGAGGAGGGGCAGGAGGGGCAGCAGGAGCAGGAGCAGCAGCAGGAGGGGCAAGCAGCAGCAGGGCTGGAGAACTCGTAAAGACAGAAGGGTTCGAAGGGGATGCAGATTTATGCAGCCACAGAGTGGTTAGATCAGGATCCATAGGAGGGGGGACAAGAGCAGGAGCAGCCGGAGGAGCAGGCAGGGCAGCGGGCCATCACAGGCCGTCTATGGGAATCAGACGAGGGGTGAGCCTGCATGAAGGGCTCTCCAACATGCGCTCCTTGCCCCCTGGTTCGCCCGCAGTGGTTCTTTCTCCCGCCGGAATCGTGCTGCAATCGCTGGCATCACCAGCACCGCACCCGCCCTCGCAGTCACCAGGAGCGCCCTCCCCTCGCTCCGCCCTGCCCCCCTCACCTCGTTCCCCCTTCCCCCCCTCGCCTCGATCAGCTTTGCCCGGCCCATCGTCCAGAGCTGTGGGTTCAGGGTCGGGGGGAGTGGGAGGACTGGGTAGGGCTGTGCCTGCCTCCCCCTCTGTTGCATCTGTGCCTGCTGCTACCGGCACTTCTGCTGCCAGTGCTGCTGCTGCTGCTGCCATGGCTGCTTCTGCGTCTGCTGCTTCTGCTGCTGCTGCAGCGGCTGCCGCTTCCGGCCCGTATGCTAAGATGTGCCGAGTTGCCTCTGCTGGACAGCTGTCGCATTCCCATTGGCCGGCTCCAGCAGCAGGCGGGCATATGGATGGGCACGCGCACATGTGGCAGAGACTTGGGGCGGAGATGGGGGAATGGGGGGCGGGAGGGGGAGGGATAGGGGGGGCAGCGGGGGGAGCTACTCAATCTGCCGGTTTTACCACTCCTGGTGCTGCTGCGCGTAATACCACTCCTACACCCGGGGTTGCTGCTCCAGGTGCTTCCTGTACCTCTGCTGCTGCTTATGCTGCGGCTGCTGCTGCTGCCGCCACTGCTGCTGCCAATGCCAGTGGTACTGCGTCTGCCACGGCTCCTCTATCTGCTGCTGCGGCAGCGGCAAGGCAGGGCACAGCAGCAGCAGGGACAGGGCGGGTAGCAGGGGCTGTGGCAGGGATGGCTAACGGGTGTGTGGGGGGGACTCATAGTGGAGAGGGGAGCACAGGGGAGCAAGGGGAGGAGGCACAGGGCCGAGGGGCAGAGAGATTGAGGGGGGCAGGCGATGTAAGAAGTCCAGGCAAGGCAGGAGGAGGGGCAGGAGCCGGGAGGGACGGAGCAGGAGGAGGAGGTACAACCGGTGCTGGGGGCTCAGGGAAAGGGGCCGATGGGGCAGAGAGCTCTCGTCGTGTTGCAGGGAACCCAATCATGCATGTGGGCAGCCATGGCGATGGGGATGGGGATGGTAACCACAGCAATGGCGAAAGTGGCAAAGGGGAAACTGGTGATGGCGAGGATGGTGAGGAGGATGAGCTGAAACCCCTCCCATCCCCCATCCTGCGTGCCCGAAGGGCTATGGGCATGGGGGCTGGCATGGGCGCAGGCATGGGCATGGGCATGCACATGAGCATGGGTATGGGGATGAGCATGCAGAGGAGCTTTAGCAGCCATGCGTTGGGGCAGCTGCAAATGCAGCATTTGCCCGGCCTCCCGCCGCTCCCCCCAGCAGCAGCAGCGGCGCATCTGGCAGGGCAGCACATGCCTGTGGGCATGGAGGGGGGGGTCATGGGCATGGGCGAGGGGTTAGTTGCAGGAGGGGGAGGGTCAGGTGGGATGAAGGGCGGGATGGGGGGGATGGGATCGCAAGGTGCCTCTACGGGTGGTGGTGGTTCTGGTTCCAGTGGTGTGACTGCTGCTGCAGCAGGCTCGTATGTTACTGGTGCTGCCAGTGCTAGTGCTGCTGCTGCCGCTGCTGCTGGTGGCACTGTTGGTGCTGCTGGCATGAGTGTGGTAGGGGAGGGTATGATGACAGAGGCAGCAGGAGCAGGGATGTCAGCAGCAGCAGCAACCACAGCAGCAGCAGCAGCAGCAGCAGCAGGCTTGACAGGAGGATTTGGGGGGGGGCATTTCGCAGGCGTGGGGGGAGGCATGAGCGGCATAGCAGGGATGGGAGGCAGCATGGGGGCTCCGATGCTGCCGTCGTTTAGCAACATGAGACGAGCGCACAGCACAGGAGATATTCAGGTTCGGCCCAGTGAACCTCTTGAATTATCCGCTCCCGCATGATTTATCATTTGCTCGTGTTCTTGAAAGCACCCATTCATCCCAACCCCATTGCCACCCCACCCCCGCCCACCCACCACACTTTCCCTTCCACCAACACACCAGCGCCTGGCTGCAATTTGGCTTCGGCCAACTCTCAGCTCCAGTTGAATCTCTTTCATCCCAACTTCTTGCGCCTCTTATCCCTTCTACTCTCCCTCAATCTTCCCACTTCCTCCCTTCCCCCCCCCCCCCCCCCCCCTTCCTCTTTTCCCCTTTCCCTCTCCCCCCTTCCTCCCACGCCCTCTGTCCCCACCAACATGCCAGTCCCTGGCTGCAATGCGATCGCTAGCCATGGGCTTCGGCCACCTCCCAGCCCTACCTTCAATCAATCATCTCGCGTTCCCTTGCCCCACCCCTCCCCCTTTTCTCCCCACACATCCCCTCCCTACCAACATGCCAGTCCCTGGCTGCAATGCGCTCTCTAGCCATGGGCTTCGGCCACCTCGCAGCCCCACCTGGAGCAGCAGGAATGAGTCCCTTTGATGACCGTACCGGCATGGGACTGGGCATGGGCATGGGTATTGCGGGTATGGGGGGTATGGGCATGGGCATGGGGGCCATGGGCATGGGCATGGGAGCGGGCATGGGCATGGGAATGGGGATGGGGGTGTTTCGAATCGGACGGTATACGTTGGAGGAGCGGCGGCTGCGGATCATGAAGTACCGGCAGAAGAGACACGAGAGGAACTTCACCAAGAAGATCAAGGTGGGTTGCATTGCAGGCGATTTGTCATTACCTAACTTCGAAGGTCACCTGCTCTGCTCTTCCAATATATCTTGGGAGTATCCCCCTTCCTGCTCTCTTCAATGTAATCCCTTCAGCAGCCAGTGGTGCTCCTCATCAATAAAACCTCCCCACTCTTCAGCTACTCCTCCTGACTGCCCTTCCCCGGCCTTCGTGCTGCCTGCTTTCCCCTGCGCTTTCACCTCTGTGCATTGGTTGCAACCTGGCGTGTGCATGAACAGTATGCGTGTCGTAAGAACCTGGCGGACAGTCGGCCGCGCGTGAGAGGGAGATTCGCTCGCAACGACGAGATTGAGGAGGTGAGGCGTGTGCTCTTTTCAGGACTGTTTCCCCGTTTTCTGTTTGCGTTTCTCCATGATCACCACCTATGTGTTGCCTTAATCAGTGGCACAGATTACAAGTTCATTCTGCAAGTTCCTCCCATCTCTTCTCCTCCCCCTTTCCCACTCGCGCTCCTTGTCCCTCACCCTCTCACCAAGCAGCACGAGCAACAGGACAAGGACAGTCACAGCGGAGATGGTGCTGATGCTGATGGAGCATGCGCTGATGCTGACGTGGACATCTCAGGTCCACATGGCATGTCATCGCATGACATGTTGCCCACGTCACATGCTGACATGTTTTCAGCAGAGGATTTTTCGGACATGCTTTTGGACGGACCTTTTGGGTCCGATGTTTTTTTTGACATTGACCCTCCGGCTGGTCGTAACAGCACCTGAGTAGAGCACTCGCTCTATGAGAAGGGGCGCTGCTAAGCGAATTCGTTATGGCAACTTCTGAGAGTTGTTTCTCAAATATGGAGCTGCTTTGTACAGTTTAAACAATGGTGCAACTATTATTGCACCAGCCCTGTCATTTGATTTTCATAGCATAGACATTGTATGTAATTGTGTTGGGCATACCAGGGTAAAAACGGTATTGTGGTTGAGCTTGTCAGGCTTGTATTTCTGGCCTGATATTCACTTTGCAAGGCTGTAAAGTAGCCGTACTCTGAAACTTGGCTAGCAGAGTTCAGCCTTAGTGCTTTGCTTCCGATAGACCATATACCGCGTACACTGCAGCTCGTGAGCATAGCATCGCGATTATTCTAGAGTGCACATCACACTCATCAACCCCGTCACTCCACCCTGTCGCCATAGATGATTCTGCAAGGTTCGTCGTCGCTGAAATCTAGAAATTCCTCGAGTGCCAATCCAGCACGACAACGCCATTTTGAGCTACGCCAGTGTCAGTTTCCTGCTTCGCCTAGAATCTTCCACGTTTATACTCTATACTCAATTGGACATGCCGCGCTTTCAACGCCAGCACTGCTGTTCCAGACACATCGTGTGCATTCTAGAGCCATGGCGGCCGTGCCAGTTCCGGAACTTTCGTACATTGTTAACGAGCCACGTTTGGCCGTGGTCCTACTATCTGTTGGTATAAAGCATGCGAAATTTAACCCGAGTGCCATCAAGAATTGAACGAATACAGCGCTCTTATTACCTTCTCGCCCGCTATCAGCCTTTTCGTAGTAACTTCACAGTCGACTGCGCGAGTAGACCATGGCGCTCACACCGTTCGGCAACGATCCGCTGTTTAACTCGCTTCTCCGGCTGTCGCACATCCCAGACGAGTTCAGCACTCTCTTCGACGCTCCGACATCAAGATTCGTGAGAGACAGCAACGCAATGGCGTCTACAGCCGTTGACGTGAAAGAGACTCCCGAGGCTTTCAAATTCATCGCGGATCTCCCGGGCCTGAAGAAGGACGAGGTGAAGGTTCAGATCGAAGATAAGAATTTGCTGACTATCAGCGGCGAGCGGACCCGGGAAGTTAAGGAAGAGACGGAGAAGTATCACCGTGTGGAGCGGAGCACTGGCAAGTTTCTGAGGCGATTCCGTCTTCCTGATAACGTGGAAGTGGATAAGATCGCGGCGACCTCGGAGAATGGTGTTCTCACCGTGACTGTCCCAAAGTTCAAGCCTCCAGAGCCGAAAAAGCCGGCTATTGTAGATATTCCCATCAACTAGAGAAACATTGGTCGTTATCGTTAGTGGTCGTGGTGATGCGCTTATTTGATGAGCACGAAGTTTTGCTGTGTGGAACCTTGTTGTATAGCATGATGATCAAGCGTGATTGCTGTGACTTGAAGACGATTATTGTCCAGTCCAGTTTGATCAATCTTTAAAGAGCCACGGCTTTCAGGGGTGGGCATTTGCTCCGTGCTTGCACATGCTCTATGCTTTGCTGTACATGGTTACGACCTTAATATGACCTTAACCTTATTCCCTGCTTGCACATGACCGCGAAGGGAAGCATGGGGCTCAGGACGGAGGAGGCTTGCATTGCAGCCTTTAAGTATTGATGGGAACAACAGCAGGGCAGTATGGGTTCTTTCTGTTTTTTACGAGGTTTGTGTATGTGTACACTACACTACATAGGTACTGTACATGAAATGAGGTCCTCCTCGCCAACGAAGTGCCCGTCGTTACTGGTTTCGTCACGGTCGCCCAACCAGCCACAAGGGTTTCCACAAACCTAGTGTCCCCTGGCTTCCAGTATGGTTCGGTAGGTTTCTACTCGGTAATTCGCAAACTACCGCAATGGAACGCAATGCACCGAAACTGTGGTACTTCACCAACTGTTGGTGCCACCATCCCAGGTTTATCCACAGAGCAGACCAATGTGCGTTCAGGCAACCACAACCACAAAAGATGGATCTGTGTTGATGGCTAGCCATGGCTGCTGTAGCTGATTTGTTGCTAGACGTGCTTTCGTACGGCCTTTTATCTGGGTTGGCCGTATGATGGACGATAGGTACGGCCGGTCAGGTATGGCTGACCGGAGGCACGAGTTTGTGGATCTGGGAACGGAGGAACGGAGAATATGGCCGACGAGGAAAGGCGAGGAAGAATCACTAAGGATTGAGGCGAGGACGTCGGCTTATCTTACCGATCCTTTCGGTCGTCCGGCGATTGATTTTGATCACGGTAGGTGATTCTTCCGCGGTACCTCTCGTATTGTTTTCTCTCATTTCCTGCTTTTTTTATGCTTCTGAATGTAAATTGGATACTGTTGTGATAACAGGTAAGGAGCCGCAAGGAGCTATTGATTCCATGGTGTGGATATCGAACCTTCCGAACGACGTCAGGGAACGAGACATAGCCTCTCTAATCGGAGAGGTTGCTGAAATTCAGGTGCATTTGCCGCTGAATTATTCTCGGAGACTCACTATTTTTTCCTCCAGCCATTGTCTTCTCTTTTTCTACTTCCCTTATTTCCTGATTGTATTATTTGTTTTTTATATCGTTCGGCATCTGTCCATGCTTGCAGATGGATCCTGAGACTCGAGGACTGAAGACAAAGCTACATTTTAACGGAAGGAACGGTGTGGTGGCGGAAGTGTGGCTTCAGAAGCCGGGTTCAGACCAGCATGTCGTGAAGTGGTTCGACGGTGCGTGACGTATATGTTTTTTTATCTCTTTGTTTTTGTCTGATGTTCTTACATAGTTTGGCATTTTTCTCCGTACCGTTTCTAGCTGATACAGAAGTCATGGAAGCCTGATCGACTCTTACTGGTTGCATTTTTCTTCCAGAAAAGACGCGGTAGTCTAATACGCTTTTTTTTTTTACCGTTGCGTGCTGTAGGGTATGTCTTCCAAGGCCTTCGCATGAAGGTTACCTTGGATCCTCCGCCAAACTTCACCTCCGCGTTCAAGCCTGATATCCCGATGGCAGCAGCCGACCGCCTGGCTTCCTCCGTTCCCGAACGACTCAGCGGGTTCTCTGATCGTCCCGGTATGCCGCTTTCAGATCGACTCGGGTTACCAGTCGCAGATCGTCTAGGGTTACCTGTTACAGAGCGGCTTGGTGGTCCTATGACTGATCGGCCCGGTGGTTCCGTTTTGGACCGGCTTGGGAGACCGGCAGGCTTGGTTTCAGGGTCCCCCATTGGAGGCCCGGTACCGGACCGCGTGAGAGGTCCGGTTACAGATCGCTTAGGAGGTTCGGTACCAGACCGCCTTGGAGGCTCGGTATCAGATCGCCTCGGAGGTCCGGCAGCGGATCGCCTAGGGTCGTCGGGCTCGGATCGCCTCGGAGGACCTCTTCCGAACAGGCTGGGTTATGGTTCTTCTCGGGGAGATGACGTGGCAGATGGGTACGGGAACAGCCGCAGGAACGCAGGGAGCGCGTTGGACGCGAGTCGCAGGAGCAGCTTCGGAGAAGATTCCGATGTGGGAGGGCTGCAGCAGTTGCGGCACGACATGGGGCTGCAGCGGCGGGAGCTGTCAACTGGCGGAACGCTGCTCGCCGTCCGCGGAGCGGGCGACGATGAGGCGGGCGGAGGTGGCGGAATGGGGGGAAGCGGCGGAATGGGTGGGAGCGGCGGAATGGTTGGCGTTGGCGGAATGAGTGGTAGCGGAGGTGTGAGTGGTGCCGCGGGGATGAATAGAGGGGCAGGTGACGGCTACGGCGGGCGTGGAAGCAGCGATCTTGATCGGATGGCATCTCCGCCGTTGAATGCCGTTGTGTCACCACCAGCGGGCGCAGGAAGCGGAGCAGGGGGGACGCGCGGAAGCGGATCAGGAAGACCTAGGCGGTTGGACTCTCCCGACCGTTACTCATCACGGGAAGATGCGCGGGATAGGGGGAGGGATCCGGGGAGAGACGGCGGAAGGGATGGGGGGAGAGGCGCCGGAAGGGATGGGGGGAGAGATGCGGGGAGGGACGGGGGAAGGGATCTGTATGGCAGAGGATCGCCGCGCGGAGGACCGATTGGGGGAATGCGGGAGATGGAGCAGCGGCGGGGGGAGATGGAGGGATTCGCGGAGCAGCAGCGGATGGAGGAGCTGGTCGCTGCGGGCATGGGGCTCGCGGGGCTTCCGCCGGGGGCGCACGTAGCGGCCGCGCATTTCGGCGCGCGCATGGGCATGGGCGGAGGGTTCATGGGCCCCCGCGGGAACCCGAACGTGCAGCCGCGCGAGGGAGACTGGATCTGCGTCGAACCCATGTAAGAGATGAGGCGGGGTATCGGGGAAGGCGGAAAGGAACGTACGTCTAGAGCCTTTCGACGCAGGAAAGTCACAGGTAGATAAGGGTTACAGGTGAACGAGGGTTACAAGTCGATGAGGGTAACCGAGGGGTTAGGTCTGGATGACCTGCGATAAGCTTTGGATGATCTCAGGTTCTTGCTCGGCAGCTGTGTGGTTTTTTGTAGCTGATATTTTCAGCTGTTTGTTTTGTAGCCGAACCTTTCGCAGCTGGTTTTTTGCAGCCGGTTCTTCGTTAGCTGATCTTTTCGCAGCGGAGGTGGGTGACTGCAGTGGAAGCAGGTGGGTTAGGAACGCAGCTGGTCTGTTTGGTGGACAGTGCAGCTGGTTTGATGGGTGCTTCGTGTGTTTCTCTTGTGGGAGGGGGAGGTCCTAACAGGGAAGCTGGGCAGCAGCAGGAGGGATTGACAGGTGGGTGGTGGGTTGGAGAAAACCAAAATCTGGTACCTGCGCTGCGAAACCCAGGAGCCGACTTTCGCGCTGCAGGTTTCCGTTCAGGTTCTTTTCTCAGGTCTCCGGGGATTGATACGCAGATAAGGGAACACGGTGTGCATAATTTGACTCTTCAGCCAGCAGGGTTTGCCTGGGGAAGTCGGACAGGCCGGCTGAATCTCGTAAATACTGAAGCTGTGTTATTCTTTGGTTGATGGTGCCACGTTGGTCAACACATAGTAGGTCAAGGAGCATGACTTGTGCCGCCCATTCTCCTGGGATTTTTCCTGACTTAACTCACGGTTTTCCTCCCGGGTTTTCTCCTCCTCGTGCTCCTCCTGCCGCTCGTTCTGCCGTTCCTCCTGGCTCCTCCTCCGCCGCCTCGTGCAGGTGCGGCAATCTCAACTTCGCCCGCCGAGTCCGCTGCCACCAATGCGGCATGCCTCGCCGCGAGCAGCCGCCCATAGTCCCCATGCCCTTCGCGCCCGACCTCCCCATCCACCGCATTGGACCGCCTCCAATCCCTCTCCATCCCTTGGGACCCATGAGAGGCGCAGGCGACGGGCCAGGGTTTGGCATTCTGGACGGGCATGGGTTCCCGGGGGGACACTCGGGGAGAGGAGGCGGTAGGGATGGGGGTTTCCTGCCTGGCGGTGGTGCTGGGGGTGGTGGTGGTGGCGGCGGCAGGGAGTATGATAGGAGTGGCAGCGGCAGGGAGTATGGTGGGGAGAGCGGTAGGGGGGGTGGCCGCCGGGGGGAGTATGATGAACGGCCGAGATCTGGCGATGGTGGGATGCTGGAGGGGAGGGGCGGCGGAGGGGGGTACGATGGGGGCAGGAGAGGGGGGAGTGCGCGGGAGGAGTATTTGGGTCCGGAGGGGGGGTATGGGATGGAGATTCATGGGCGGGGGAGGGAGTGGATGGGCGGGAGGGAGAGAATGATGGGCCGAGGGGCAGCTTGGGATGCCATGGGTGGTGGTATGGGGCATGGGGGGCATGGGGGGCGTGGGGGACATGGGGGGCATGGGATGATGCTGGGTCTGAGAGGGAGGGATGATGTGAGGCCAGGTGGCAGGGACTGGGATCTGGAGAAGGATCGGGCACTGGAGAGGGCGCGAGAGAGGGAGATTATGAAGGAGAGGGAGAGGCGGAAGGGGAGGGAGCGGGGGAGGGAGAAGCTGGGGGAGCGGGACAGGGGGCAGGAGGGGAGGGAGGGAAGGGAGCGGCGCGAGAGAGGGTCGGAGGATGAGCGGGAGAGGGATCGGGAGCGGGACCGTGACAGGGAGAGGGAGAGAGGGAAAGGTGGAGAGGCGATGGGAGGGGGTAGAGAGGGCAATGGTAGGGCGGATGGGGGTGGGGAGAGGAGGGAGGAAGGGGCAAGGCGGATGCAGTCTCCTGAGAGGCGTGCGATGAAAGGGGACGGGGGAAAGGAGAGGGAGCGGAGCCGCTCCCCCCGTCCTCGGCGATAAGCGATCCATCTCTTTCTGCTCTGCGGTGGAAGTTTGAAAAGTTTAAGGTTCATGGTTGGGGTGGGGTCTGCACTTATTTACGCAGAAGAGGAACTTTCCTGAGTCCGGGCATGGGTTAGGAGCAGGGGGAAAGCTGTTAGGCATAAGGGCAGACAGGAACAGCAGCGGCAGTTGGGATTGCGATAAGCAGCAGTTGATATTGACCGGGATGAGCAGCAGTTGTTAGAGACTGGGATCATGAGGGTCTGTCTGTTGGGATCAGCACCAGCAGCGTGCTTACGGTAGTTACCTATCGTTATTTTAGGCTCATTGCCCTTCTTTGGAAGGGCCTTGTTCTGTAGCTGGAGACAACTTATTGGGGGGGACACTTCGTGGAAAGAGATGCAGATGATAGCAATGGAAAGCTGTTTTCATTTGAGTGTGATTACAGTTGAAAGAGTGGAATGCGGTAAATACTATAAACAAGCGGAATGTATGATGCATGTGCTGAAAGCATTACCACATACGCAACAGCAGCATGCATGGGGTGCCTCTCCTCCACCAGTGCAAGCAGGAAACTCAGACCAGGGGAAGGTGGACAGGGACAACAGCTGACGCATGAAGTCGCGTGTGATACCGTAAGTCGATTTTTGAGTCGACTAAAAAATCGACTCACTTCCACCAGTGCAAGCAGGAAACACAGACCAGGGGAAGGTGGACAGGGACAATGGCTAACACATGAAGTAAACCACACTGTTCGGGCAAGTGCCTGCAACAGGAACCCCTTGGATGCAAAGCTTCTACATCATATATTAATCAAGCAGGGCTAAGAGAACTCGCAGCAGGCGGGAGCAGGCGGAGGGGGGCGTGAAGGTCCCAGACATGAAATTTACCATGTTGCCCCTTCTTGACTGACTGTACTGGAGGGGGCCCTGGTTGCAATGCTTCACACCATGTGTGCTCCTAATCAAGAAGGGCCAGCAGAATGCGCAGCAATCGAGAGCAGGTGGAGGGGGGCATGAATGGCCCGCACATGAAATAGACCACGTTGTCTAGCAGTTGTGACAGGTGCCCCTTGTATGTGATATGCTACTCTCTACATGCTAATCAAGCAGTGCTAGGAGGATGCGCAGCAGACGGGAGCATGTGGAGGCGGGCGTGAAGGGCCCACACATGAAATAAACCACATTGCCCAGAGGCCGTGCGTATATGCCGTGCTGCCGCAGCCGTGATAAGAGCCCCTTGGCTGCTGACGAGCCGTACCTGTGGTGGGGCGCGAAGGGAGAATAGAGGGAACGAGTGCGTTGGAATGATTGAAGAATAACTCAAACTGAGTAAACGCCACCCCCCGCATTATACCGTTGACCAGCATACCACCAGTCCCAGAATAAACCAAGGCACTCACCCTGCACCATCAGTCCTGAGCTCTGCCACAAAGACTGATCCTATTAACGAGGCTCTTTTGAGAAGTCTCAAAAGTCATACAAGCATTCCCGCAATCACTCACCCTGCACCATCAGTCCTGAGCTCTGCCACAAAGACTCTTCCTACAGCCAGCGTCTCAAACGTCATACAAGCATTCCCAAAACCCACTCACCCTGCGGCGTCAGTCTTGAGCTCTGCCACAAAGACTGTTCCTATTGCAAGCACGCGCTGTATCAAGGGGTGGCAGGAGATTTGCTCCACTAACGAGGGGTCCCACAACTGCAGGGCGGTGTGAGAGAGAGGGAATGTGGGAGAGAGGGAATGTGGGAGAGAGAGGGAATGTGGGAGAGAGAGGGAATGTGGGAGAGAGAGGGAATGTGGGAGAGAGAGGCCATATGGGTGAAAGGGGAGCAGAGACAGAACGGTGCCTGGTTGAGCAACCTATAGCCAGCACACTTTGTATTGAGGGGTCACAGAAGACCTGCTCCATGAGTGAGGAGCCCCACAATTGCTAGAGGGAATGGGAGAGAGGATGACAGAGACACAGAAGGTTGGGTGGTCCGCAAAACGAGCTGACTTTTGAGTCGACTCGGAAGTCAGCTCGTTTGCAAAACGCCCAGTTTCAACTGGGCACATCAGGATTCGTAGGTGCGTTGGGATGGATTGCAGTCAGCCTAAGAACAGATTGTTTGAGGCCTCTAAAAAATCATGTAGGCATGTGGAGAAAATACCATTGTAGTCTTTCCAAGAACGGATTCAGTACAATCTTATGATGCCAACATGTACAATGCTTGCTCGGGGCAGTGAGCCGCGCAACGTGCTAAGTACATTGCTTGAAGGACAGGGCATCGTAGGGGCTAAGCACCTCTTTCAGCTGAGAGCCGTCCAGAAGGAAGTTGGGTCTGAAAACGCCAGCCGCTTTGTTTGAGTCACCAAAATGAAAAAAAAAGGGTTAAGTACCTCTTTTAGCTGAGAGCCGTCAGGAAGCAGGTTGGGGTTTCGAGCTGGGTCTGACAGCGCCTTGAGAGAAACACAGGCCGCTGCACAGCCCGCAGGATGGGCTGTGTAGGAGTGACCATGCAAGAGGGCATCAAGCTTGGAGGAAATAAGGGAGAAATGGGGAAAATGGAAGGGGAGAATCAGTGGATTGCAAATAAAGGGTTAAGAGAAACACAGGCCGCTGCACAGCCGGTTGGATGGGCTGTGTAGGAGTGGCCGTGCAAGAGAGCATCGAGCTGAAATGAAGTTAGGGCGAGAATGGGGAGGAAGGGGAGAAAGGAGGAGGAGAAACGGTGAAGGAAAGGGAATGAAGCATTCAGCACCACAGGGGCCGCAGCACAGTGGTGCAGGATGGGCAGTGTAGGAGTGGCCGTGCAAGAGAGCATTAAGCTGGGAAGAACGAGGGAGAGAAGAGGCAGATGCAAGTGAGGGGAGGAGGGGGAAGGAAGCGTTGGGAGACAGATTGACAGGCTGACAGGTTGGCGTTGGGGAGGTTCTGGCAGGAGATTCCACTTTAAAGCAGTTTCGTTAAGGATATAAATACCTTGGAGGAGCCATGGAAGGAAGCGTTGAGAGACAGATTGACAGGCTGACAGGCTGGCGTTAGGGGTTTTGGCGTTTTGACAGAAAAATACCAGTTAAAAGCAGAGTCGTTTAGAAATTACCTTGGAGGAGCCATAGAAGGCATCAAAGACAGAGGACGAGGCAAGCGTGACGGCCAATGGGATCATGCCACCTGTCAGCAGCTTGGCGTAGCAGGCAATGTCCGGGGAACAGGCCAGCAGCTCCGCTGCTGACTGGGAGAGGGGAGAAGGGGGAAGGGGAGAAGAGAGAACGGAGAAGGGAGAAGCGGAAAGATAGTGGGAGGGAGAAGTGGAATGAGTGAAAAGGAAAGGAGATTAGGGATTGACAACGGGAAGGCAGAAGGTACTTAAGTTGGCTTATGAAACTTCAGATATGTCAGCAGAGGGGCACGGAGGAAGGTGGGAGGGAGGCAACAATGGAAGCTCAACTAGACGTCCCCCACTGAAAGCCCACTTGGGAGTCCCCCATTTGAAAGCCCTCCCCACATACCACTTTCAATCGAAACTCACCTGGGTGCCAAGACGCCAGCAGCCAGCAAAGACCTCGTCTAAGATGACTGGGATGGCGTGGGCACGGCAGGAACGACATGCTGCCGCCCTCCACCCCTCTGCACCACTGTACATACCAGCAATACCTGACGCCCACCTGGGTGCCAAGGCGCCAGCAGCCAGCAAAGACCTCGTCTAAGATGACTGGGATGGCGTGGGCGCGGCAGGAACGACATGCTGCCGCCCTCCACCCCTCTGCACCACTGTACATACCAGCAATACCTGACGCCCACCTGGGTGCCAAGGCGCCAGCAGCCAGCAAAGACCTCGTCTAAGATGACTGGGATGGCGTGGGCGCGGCAGGAACGACATGCTGCCGCCCTCCACCCCTCTGCACCACTGTACATACCAGCAATACCTGACGCCCACCTGGGTGCCAAGGCGCCAGCAGCCAGCAAAGACCTCGTCTAAGATGACTGGGATGGCGTGGGCGCGGCAGGAACGACATGCTGCCGCCCTCCACCCCTCTGCACCACTGTACATACCAGCAATACCTGACGCCCACCTGGGTGCCAAGGCGCCAGCAGCCAGCAAAGACCTCGTCTAATATGACTGGGATGGCGTGGGTGCGGCAGAAGGAGACGAGCGTGCGCTGGAAGAGCGGGTCGATCATGACCATGCCGCCCGCCCCGTGCAGCACTGTTAGCAACGCAAGAAGTGGGCGAATGCAGGGGAGGGGGGAGGGATGGAAAAAGGGGTGAGAAGGGTTCTCAAGAGACGATGCTGGAAGAGCAGGTCGATCATGACCATGCCGCCCGCCCCGTGCAGCACTGTTAGCAACGCAAGAAGTGGGCGAATGCAGGGGAGGGGGGAGGGATGGAAAAAGGGGTGAGAAGGGTTCTCAAGAGACGATGCTGGAAGAGCAGGTCGATCATGACCATGCCGCCCGCCCCGTGCAGCACTGCGGCAGGCAGTACGAGAATACAGGTGAGGGGGTAGGCGGGGACGGGAAAGGGGAAGGTTGGGAAAGGAGAAGGAGACGAGCGTGCGCTGGAAGAGCGGGTCGATTATCACCATACCACCTGCCCTGTGCAGCACTGCGGGAGTGTGGGGACAGCAAGGGATGGGGGAATGGGATGGGGGAATGGAATGGGGAAGGATGGATGGGTTCTAAAGCTCCTTAAGAGACGAGCGTGCGTTGGAAGAGCTGGTCGATTATCACCATACCACCTGCCCTGTGCAGCACTGCAGGAGTGTGGGGACAGCAAGGGATGGGGGAATGGGATGGGGGAATGGAATGGGGAAGGATGGATGGGTTCTAAAGCTCCTTAAGAGACGAGCGTGCGTTGGAAGTGCGGGTCGATTATCACCATACCACCTGCCCTGTGCAGCACTGCAGGAGTGTGGGGACAGCAAGGGATGGGGGAATGGGATGGGGGAATGGAATGGGGAAGGATGGATGGGTTCTAAAGCTCCTTAAGAGACGAGCGAGTGCTGGAAGAGAGGGTTGATCATGACCATGCCGCCCGCCCCGTGCAGCACTGCGGCATGTGGGATTAGCAGCAGGGCAGGAGGGTGTGGTGGTGTGGGGAGAGGGTCTTGACGCTGTAGCAGACGTGCCTCAAGAGACGAGCGTGCGCTGGAAGAGAGGGTTGATCATCACCATGCCGCCCGCCCCGTGCAGCACTGCGGCAGGCAGTACGAGAATACAGGGGAGGGGGTATGCGGGGACGGGAAAGGGGAAGGTTGAGAAAGGAGAAGGAGACGAGCGTGCGTTGGAAGAGCGGGTCGATCATGACCATGCCTCCTGCCCCGTGCAGCACTGTAGGCGTGTGGGAGAAGGCAGGGGAGGGGAAAGGGCAGGAAGGAAAGAATTGATGTGGTGGTGGAGGGGAGGGACCTGAAGCGCCTGAAGAGATAAGTCAACTCAAGAATAGACAAGTGTGCGCTGGAAGAGCGGGTCGATCGTCACCATGCCGCCTGCGCCGTGCAGCACTGCGGGAGTGTGCCAATGCAGGGGAAGGGCAAGGGGTGGGGGGGGGTTGGAAAGGGTTCCAAATCGCCTCAAGTAGTGGGGCCTACCAATGCACTGCACACATGTACAAATACCGACTTTAGAATTTAGAGGAAACCTGCGTACACACCTGGTTCGATGATGAGCGCTGCGGCCATGGCACCTGAAAAACCACCCGAAGGGCCACCTGAGGAGGAGTCTCGGATTTAGGGTAAACTTCATACGCACCTGGTTCGATGATAAGTGCAGCGGCCATGGCACCTGAGGGGCCACCTGAGGAGGAGTCTGAGGGGAGGAGGAAGGGCTGGAGGTGGTGGTGCATGTATTGATGGTAGATGGAGGCGAGAGGGGAGGAGTCCCTTTCACTGTGGAAGACTGCTGTTCGTGATTGGAAGGAGAGGTGGGTGGTGGGAGGGGTGGTGGAGGAGGAGGAGAGTGAGGGGGGCAGGACGACAAGCCATTGACCTTGGGAGTACTCCACTGTTGGCGGGTCAAGGAACACGCCCTTGCCTCCGTACCTGTGGGGTGAGGTGTGACATGAGAGAAACAGAGTACTTTTTTACTTATTTGTCTCAGCACGTGAACAAATGACTACTTGTGGTGGAAATTTACGCGTACATTTTAACAATGTCAAGGGACTGACCAGAAAAACACACCATCATTTAATCAGTGGTATTCTCACCCTACACCACCATGGAAGAAGGAAAACCATAACACAGTTTTCCTTCGTCGACCTAGCATTCACGTTGGCTGCTGACGTGGCACCCACCATAACTGCTGCTGATGTGGCACTCACTCACCATGGCTGCTGCTGGAAGGAGGTGTACGGGGAGGGTGACTGGGCATGCATGGCTGCCAGCGTGTCACCATGGTACGAACCAGTCAGGGCAATCACCTGGTGACACGTGGCATGACAAGGAAAACGAAGGGCCAGAGTGAAATAGGGCTTTACTACAAGACATGAGGCTTGGGCATGCCATGACAGTTTGGCTCACTAGAGGTCTACTGAGGCATACAATCATGCCATGTCAGCACGTATGGCACATGCTGAGATGAGCATGGGAAGCGCCTGAAAACGGATGAGCACTCATGCCACTGTTCGGCAGTCAACTCAGAATGGTCCAAAAAAGTCACCATGCGCCGCACCTCAAGAAGTCTTTTCAATCGACTCAAAATTCACCTCCATGGGATGCAAGTCAATGCACCTTTAGAAGACTTTCGACTTGACTCAACAGTCACCTCAGTAAGACCCACCTTGAGATCTGCAAGACCATCCGATCCCACGCCGTTTCGCGCGCAGAAGGAGCGGAATGCCATCTTGAGCGCCACCTCGATGGCTGTGGAGCCGTTGTCTGAGAAAAACACCCGCGAGGCCCATCCTGTGCGGTGATGTGCGGTGGAGTGGGGTGGTGTGAGGTGAGATGGGGTGCAAGGGGGTGGAATTGGAATTATGTTGTCCACATGAGCTAGCCATTCCAGACCCACCCCTAACGCCATTGCAGAAAACGTGTCGTGTGCCACTGTAACAGGGTGACTTATGAGTCGACTCAAAAGAGGTGACTTATGAGTCGACTCAAAAGAGGTGGCAGTCGACTCAAAAGAGGTGGCAGTCGACTCAAAAGAGGTGACTTTGGAGTCGACTCAAAAGAGGTGGCAGTCGACTCAAAAGAGGTGGCAGTCGACTCAAAAGAGGTGGCAGTCGACTCAAAAGAGGTGACTTTGGAGTCGACTCAAAAGAGGTGACTTTGGAGTCGACTCAAATGAGGTGACTTTGGAGTCGACTCAAAAGAGGTGGCAGTCGACTCAAAAGAGGTGGCAGTCGACTCAAAAGAGGTGACTTTGGAGTCGACTCAAAAGAGGTGACTTTGGAGTCGACTCAAAAGAGGTGGCAGTCGACTCAAAAGAGGTGACTTTGGAGTCGACTCAAAAGAGGTGACTTTGGAGTCGACTCAAAAGAGGTGACTTTGGAGTCGACTCAAAAGAGGTGACTTTGGAGTCGACTCAAAAGAGGTGACTTTGGAGTCGACTCAAAAGAGGTGGCAGTCGACTCAAAAGAGGTGGCAGTCGACTCAAAAGAGGTGACTTTGGAGTCGACTCAAAAGAGGTGACTTTGGAGTCGACTCAAAAGAGGTGACTTTGGAGTCGACTCAAAAGTCACATCAGCCATCCCAGTCCCACCCCCAACGCCATTCTGAGTGCAGAAGCAGCGGAAGGCCATCTTGAGAGCAGCCTCGATGCCTCTAGCTTAAGCATCCCCTCACCCTCTTTACCTTTCCCAACTCCCTTCAGCAGCAGTTCAGCAGCCTCCAAAGCCAGAGCATGGGCATTCTCAGGGAACATGACATGCCCGTATCGGGCCATGGCCGCCCCTATCTCCCTCGATAGCTCCCCCTGCAGTGCAGAGCTGGCTGGGTCCACAAACACCAAATACCCCATGAATTCCGTTCCCAACCCCGTCCTACCCTTCCCTACCCATTCCGACCGATCCCAACCCCGTCCTACCTTTCCCAACGCCCTTCAGCAGCAGTTCAGAAGCCTCCAAAGCCAGAGCATGGGCATTCTCAGGGAACATGACATGCCCGTATCGGGCCATGGCAGCCCCTATCTCCCTCGATAGCTCCCCCTGCAACACAGGGCCCAGCCCCTGGGTCCACCAGCTCGCACACCCATCAAACCACTCCTCCAACCGATCCTCTTCCCGAACCTCCCCCCGAGGCTCGGCCCGACCCTCGGTAGGTTTGTCCGACTGTGGGTCTGTCCGGACCTTGGTCTGGTTCGGCCGGAAGACGGAAAAGTTTTCTCCTGCCCGGGAATCGATGACTGACACATCTTTCACTCCCACCATGCCATGCTGGGTGAACGGCCACCAGAGAATTTCATGTGCCCTTTCAGCTGCCCGTTCAAGTGCCCGCAACCTCTCCCCGTGGTACTGTTCCAGCATTAGCACAAGTTCCTGGAAGCTTCCTTCCGATATGCCGAGCCAGTCAATGAGGTTCGGGTTGAGCGTGGAGTAAGAGGAGGTTTGGAAAGCGGTAGAGGGGCTTGAGGAAGGAGAGGAGGCGAGAGAGGGGGAGGAGAAGGAGGAGGAGGAGGGTGAGTTCGGGTCAGACACTGATGGTGGTAACGATGGGAGGGCAGGCAAGGAGATGACTGGGATCCTGGAACGGGATGAAGGAGAGAGAGAGAGTAGGCGGAAGCGGAGAAAGGCAGAAAAGAGGGAAGGAGGGATAATGAAAAATGTAGTTTTGAATGTATAAAATATTCATTCAAAACAGCAACTTCCACCCTCCCACTTCATTGACGGCCGCCCACCAGCTATCCCTACCTCCCCTCTTTCTTCCACTCACCCTCTCGGTCTCAAATATGTCTTTAGGTAATCTGCGTTATCCAGGCGTCCCTCCTCGTCCCCACACACCACCACTGCTGCCACGTCATACCCCCGCCCCGCCAGGCTGTCCACCGCTGCTACAGTGACCGAGATGCCGCCCAGCCGCCCGTCTCCCACTAGAATACAAGGCAGGCGCAGAGGTCTGGCGCGGAAAGAGAGGGGGAGGATGGGGGAAAGAAGAAAGATATGCAGGAAAGAGGTTAGGGATGGAAAGAAGGGAGGGAGGGATCGGAAAAATTGGGAGATTATGGGGGAAAACGCATGGGAGAGATGTGGGGAACACAGGAGTGGGGTACGAGCAAAGAGCAGTGAGGAGAGATGAGTTGAGAAGGATGGAAATCCACTGTTGGCTAGGCTTGTGTGACTTTTGGGAATTCTCAACGGTTACACATCATAAACGGTTTCCAAACCAGTTCTAGACTACATGACCCAGTACTGCTTAGCTGATGATGTACAGAGAAAGAAGAAAACATTTCATCTGCACATCAATTCTAGGCCACATTTCCCTGGACCCACCTGTACAAATCTGCCTGCAGGGTTCCCGAGGGTCCAGGGCTCGCCATGCCCCCTGCTGTCTCGATCAAAACCCATCTACCATTGCTGCCGCTGCTGCTGCCGCCGCTGCCGCTGCTTACGCTACTGCTGTCCCCACTACTGCTGTCGCTGCTGCTGCTCCTACTGCAGCTAACATACGATCGAAGTGCGTCCACCACAGCAGCATCTGCCGCCTCCTCCCCCATCCCTTCCCCTCCCTCCTCACCTGCTTCCGCTCCCTCTCCCCCTCCCTCTCCTCTCTCGGGGGATTTTAGCACAGCTGCCCGGCTTTCCCGGGCAGCCAGGTGGGGAGAAACAGGGTCCTTCCAAGCCCAGAGGGTGGAGCAGGTGAGCGACACTGTGGGGGTAGGTGACTGTAACGAGGGGTGATTACGGGCAGGGGATTGTGCCACTGCAGAGGGCGAGGGAGAGTGAGAGGAGATGGTGTGTGTGGAGGGGGCGTCAGAGTAGTTAGGGGAATGCAGAGTGAAGTGCAGGGACGACGAGTGGGAAGCAATTGTGCTGCCCGCACTATCATCACTGCTGGTACTGCTGTTGCTGTTGCTGTTGGTAGTATTGTCGCCGGTGGTGGTGGCTGTTGCGCTGATCTCACTGCCTCTGCTGCCGCTGCCAGCGCAGTGTGCAGCAGCGAGCATCACCAGGCGAGCATCCGAATCTGGACATGGTGATCGGTTCCATTCACACAGGGAAAACACACTTGGATTGGAGGTCGTTTCTGAGAATTAGAAAAAAAAGACCTACAAAAAGCAGCGAGCATCACCAGGCAGGCATCCGAGTCTGGACATGTGATCCATTCACACAGGGAGACGCGCAAGGCAGGGAAATTCTGAGGCGCCTTAAAATCGTTCAGAGGCACTTTGAAAGTCGTTCCATATACACAAGGAGATCCCAAAAGCAGGGATGTGAGAGGATGGAACGAGGCGACTTTTGAGTCGACTCAAAATTCGTTCCATATACACAAGGAGATACTCACGGCAGGGGTGTGAGAGGACGGAACGCGAGTTGTTTGAGGGAAAAAAGTCACTATTAGCTCACCTTCAAGGTACCCTGTCTGAAGTGGTTTCACATGCTCCAAATGGAATTCCCCGCAATTCTGGGCAGTTCCCCCCTGCACACCCCGTCACTAGGACCTTACCTTCAGGGTACCCTGTCTGCAGTGGCTTCACATACTCCAAATGGAAGTCTCCCCAATTCACCGCAGTTTCCCCCTGCACGCCCCTTTCCCCATCCGCTGCGTTCCCTCTACCTTCCTTGGCCCCTTCCGCGCCCCCTCCCCGCGCAGCTCGCGCAAGCAGCGCGACAGCAAGGCCCGCGGAAACGAGGGTCTTCCCCACGCCTGTATTTGCGCCCCACACCACGAACGCGGGGGCCGACAGGGAGGTGGCTTCTGGGGGAGGCGGGATCTGTCCAGCTGGCGCTGACGCTCTTGCTACCGAAATCTGGTCAGGATTCGCGACCTCGCCGGGATTCGCAGAAGCTGATGCGACCACGAAATTCCGCGAGTATAAACGGAGCTTTGAACTGGAAGGTTTGTGAAAAGCGGAATGGCTGTATCCTCGCTGCCGTGGGGAGGATAATACTATCTCGCGCTTTACGAAGGCCGAGCTCGAACTTGAACGCGCGGCAATTGACGAGAGACCCCCTCTCTTTAACACCAATTGAAGACAGTGGTGTCTGGGACAGGCGAAATTGCACCTACGGAGCTTGGAGGCTGAGACGAGTCCTTCCTGAGAAGCGACATTTGCGGTGGAAAGAGCTGCTGACGCTGACGCCGCCATTGCCGCCAAAGTTGCGATTGACGCTATGACTGCGAAAGCTGAGAGGCTTAAGGAAGGGGATTGCGGAGGGAACGCGGACAGACACAGAGGCTGACGGTCCGTGTGCTTGCTAAACGAAGGGTCTGTCTGGGCGAAATCGCTCAAGCAGCGTTGCCCATCTGAAGATCCAGAGCCACTGGACTGAATTTCAGGATTCGTACCCGGATGACAGATTCACGCGACGCGCATCCCAATAAGCACGTTTCGCGTGTCCCGTGGGGCGTATCGCGTGAGGTGAAAGATCAAGTGCACTTCCTAAAGATGTTTAGGAAGAGGTCGTCACAACTCTTCTGTTGAGAATCCATGGTCAAAATGAGTGGAAGAAAATGGTCAGATGGCGACGGAGGAAGGAATTTGGGATACAATCGAGGTGAGGGGGGAGGCAGGTTGACGTGATCTGTCTCAGTCCGATTTCGAAATACAATTGATGCCTGTTTGAGCCCCTCCCGGTTGCCTTGTGAAGGGGGCGTATAAGCCGTATCGTGAATTTCGCATAAGTTTCGTCAATTCGCAGCTAGCTAAAAAGGAGTCGCAGGTGCTTATATTAAGTATACCTGGGCTCCGATAATTTCATTCCCTATAATTGCAAAGCCCCTGTCGTCACATGGGGTCAGGAGCTCGAGCGCTTCGGAGGCTGTCGACAGTGAAGTCGAGAGCTTTACAGCCTGTGACCTGACGCGTCTGCACATTTCCACGCTGGAATGAGCTGGTGAAAGAGATTCGAGAAGGCTCCCAGGCAGGTTTTTCGTGGCCCACAAAGCAAACCAGCCGCACTAGATTCCTACGTGGCATAGAATGGACGGCCCAAGTGAAGGAGATGAATATGGGTAGAAACAAGCGTAACCGACTCAAAAACGATAACAACCACTGAGGTACAACACACACAACACCAGAGGAGAGCACGGTTAGTCTGATAATGGGGTTTTGGGTAATAATAAGTAGTCGTATAAACAATTCAGTATTTGATGATTTTGTGTTTGGGCCTTGGGCAGAAGACAGTTTACTTACTCACCCACTGTTTGACACTTTTCGTAATGTATGTTTTTGTGGCTCGATAGGAAGTCGGGCTTCTAAATGAACGGACCACCTCAGACTGTTTAACATGGGTCCTCGCTGGCATGTTCCAGCGGGGACTGACTCAGCGCCAAAATATCTGCGCTTGGGGGGGTTGAAATTAGGGGGAACTTTTTTGTTCCCCATAATTTCAACCGCTGGGCTAAACGACAGAGGTGCGACCCGGTGCCCCGTCTCTGAAATTATCGGAGCCCAGGTGTATCTGTAACCTTATCCGTTGACATTTTGACTTCAGTCTCTTCAGTTTGACTTCAGTCTGTTCGTTACTATTGGTCCATAACCACGCGACGCGCTTGTATCGTGGGTGCAACAGGCTGGGGAAAAGACCTCGGGTGCAGCATTTCCATCCGGTGCAGGGCGAACTCGCGTGCACTGGTTGGGCATCATGTGTACATTTTTGCGCCTGCCATCAAATTTTGAGTGCAACTGCTGATGACGCATGATTCTGCGTCCCCGCCATTGTGAGTTTCAACTCGCTCCTTCTAACGAAGTTGATACATGTCCTCCCTTGTAAGGCCAAAATAACGTATTCATTCCTATACCTCCCTCTCTCACTGTTGAGAGGTCTCAACCGTCCCGTTCATGTCAGAAAAATCGAATAGTTCTGCTCACCCTCGATTTCTTCCGCAAACCCGTAAAATCAGAAGCACGACTGATTCGTTCTCGCTGCAGCTCGAAAGCAGCAAACCCGTCGCAGATACGAAGTTTTGCGTCCGTGTGAGACGCGATTTTCCGAGCCACGTACTGGTTCCATTCCGTGGCAGTGGCATTATGGAGGACGGCCCGAGTAAGATCCGGAGAATATGCGTCTACTGCGGCTCGAGCTCTGGCACTAATCCCGTCTATGGCGAAGCGGCAGCGGAGCTCGGCCGGGAAATCGCGGCCCGGGGATTTGATTTGGTGTACGGGTCAGGAAGCATTGGCCTGATGGGTATAGTCGCGCGAACAGTGCACGAAAATGGGCGGCATGTGCTAGGGGTAATTCCCCATGCGCTCGTGCCTCTGGAGGTATCTGGGCCGTCCGTTGGCGAGGTGCGGTTGGTGCGAAACATGCACGAGCGAAAGGCGGAGATGGCGAAAGCAGCTGACGCGTTCATCGCTCTGCCAGGTCAGCAACGATTGACACGTCGTTCATCCACTGCGTTCCACTTACCGTCCTTCGCTCCAAGTCCTTCGCCATTAGTATCCAACTGTATTCAAAAGAACGAGTGCTCTGCTTTCGTTAGCTTTTACGGGAATCTGCATTCTCTCCGCTCCCCGCCTCCCATTCTATCCCCGTCTTCCATGCCCTCACGTCACCCTCCCCATTCTCCTCTTCTGCCTTCCACTCCAATACGCGTTCCGCAGGTGGGTACGGCACGCTGGAGGAGCTTCTAGAGATGGTGACCTGGTCGCAGCTCGGCATTCACGACAAGCCGATCGCCGTGCTCAACGCCAACGGCTACTTCGACTCGCTGCTCGCCTTCTTCGACCGCGCCGCGCAGGAGGGGTTCGTGAACGCGACGAATCGCAGCATCGTGATGTCGGGTCGCACGGCTAAGGAGGTGCTGGATTTAATCGAAGCGTTCGACGCGGATAGCCGAGGCGCGTTGCTGGCCAAGGAGCGGTGGCATGGGGAGGAAGGTTCAGGATCGGGGAGGGATGGGGTGACCAAAGAGGAGTTGGTGAAGGCTGTTGTCGAACCCTGATTTTACCGTACTCCCTTGAAATGGATCCATTATTGTTCGTTCAAATTTTGCTACGTAATCAATGAAACAAAGGCTGATCTTTTGCAAGTACATTCCGTAAGCATTCCTCTGAAGTTCCTACAATCATCAGATAAGTAACCTACACTCAGTCTTACAAAGAAACAGAGGTTTAAGACTAGAGGTGCAAGGGTAATGAGCAAAACTTTGTGTGTTTCACGCTATTTTACTGCCAGTTATAAAACACAAGCGCGTCACCCGCACTTCCAGAGATGTGTGCGAAGGCAACCAGCAGATCACCTCTTAACCACTTTCAACCAGCCTCAAACTTTCTCAACAACTCTCCACGAGCTGCAGCACTTTTCTCAACCAGTTTACCCGCGGTTCCTGAGGTGCGGCGGAACCCACTTCTTCGCCGCTGGCGCTGCTTCTGCTGGCGCTGCCGCCGGTGGTGCCGCCGCTGCTGCTGCAGGAGCACTAGGCCTCTCCCGCTCCCTCTCACCGACACTACCAGAAGCAGCAGCGCTACGAGAAGGAGGCTCGTACCTTCCTGCTGGCCTCCTGTCTTCAACCTCCCGCCCACGATCTCCCCCCCACCTGTCTCCAGCCCCTCCTGCCCCTGCACCACCAGCACTACCCCTAACAGGCGGAACGTATTTCCCAGGCGCCCCAGTAGCAGAGGCAGCAGCAGCAGCAGCAGGAGCCCTGTCCCTGGACCACCGATCCTCCTCCGCACCTGCACGTCCGGAAGGCGGAGCCTCGCCGGCTGCCGAGCCTCCGCCGCGGGCGCGGAGGGCCGGCGGGACAAAGGCGGAGGTTTTGCGCTCGGCAGCAGCAGCAAGAAGGTCCTCCCGCTCCTTGCGGGCCTTCTCCTCCGCCTCCTGCTCCCTCTGGCGCTGCTTCGCTGCCATCTCCTCCAGCTTCTTCAGCCGCTCCTCCTCCTCCTTGCGCTTGCGCTCCAGCTCTGGTGTGGGTTATCATCAAGGGAGAACGCAGAGGGAATGCATGGAGTAAGTGGTTATGCAGGGGAAGGAGAGGAGATGGAGAACACAGAAAGGGAATCGAGGGAATATGGGGAGGAGATGAGGCCAGGGAAGGAATGGAGAGGAGACAAAACCTGCAAGGAGAGAGAGAGAGCAACAGCACCAGCACCACGCACCTTCGCGCTTGCGCCACTCCGTCTCCTCCCAGGCCTTGAGCGCCTTGGCCTCCTCCTGGCGGCGGAACATCTCCCTCTTGCGCAGCATCACCCTCTCCGTGCGCCGCAGCTCCCTCAGCTCCGCCAGCTTCTCCTCCCTCTCCCTCTTCAGCCGCTCGAATTCCCCGCGCCGCCGCCCGACAACTTGCTCCTGGAACTCCTCCTGTGAGGGAGAACAGTGGGCACGGGCAACAAGATCAGTATGGCACGCCGGAAAGGGCATGCCACCTCAAGTATGGCAAGCCGGAAACGGCATGCCACCTCAAGTATGGCACGCCGGATAGGGCATGCCACCTCAAGTATGGCACGCCGTTTAGGGCATGCGTGACACTGAAAATCACTCGCCCCACCTCAGCCCCACCCCCTGCGCTTTTCCTTCCTTCCATACCCTATCCCCCAGCATGCATGTAGCTCGTGCTGTGTCTTGCACTTTTCTCCCACTAACCCTATCCGCCTCTGCCTTCCCCCGTCCCCTGTCTCCCGTTTCCCATCCCCCCCACCCCTGTCTCCCGTTTCCCATCCCCCCCACCCCTGTCTCCCGTTTCCCATCCCCCCCACCCTTGTCTCCCGTTTCCCATCCCCCATCCCCCCTTCCCTCAACTCACCTTATCTCCCAGCATGCGGGACAGCCGGATCTTCTCAGCCAGGTCCTGCTCGTGCTGCGTCTTGCTCTGCGCCGCTGCCTCTGCCTGCTGCTGCTCGAACCACGCCCGCTCCTCCACCAGCCTCTGCTGGTACGCTGCTTCAAGCAGCGGCTTCTCCTCCTCCCTGCGTGCCCGCTCCAGGTGATCCAATGTGCGCACCTGGACACAAGAAAAGATGGAGGGTAGATTGGGAGGAATGAGACGGGGTAAGAGGAGGATGGGAAAGAAGCATTCGCCTCCAGCAGCGGCTTCTCCTCCTCCCCGCGTGCTCTCTCTAGGTGTTCGAGCGTGCGCACCTGCAAGCAAAAGAGAGAGGGAAAGAA